GTTGAAATTGAAGAAGTTCTCTTTTAACATCAGAACTATCTTTGGGAGACAAGGCCCTTTTGCTCAGAAAACTTGATCTTCTTAACCCTGAACTTTTGGAAACTACTTTATCTCTCTAAACTTCTTTCTGTTATTTCTTTGCTGTGGCATTGCTCTCTGTATATTTATATATATATATAGATATTGGCTACATCTTTTTCTGTAAATATTTTTATTGCACCCTTTTGACCTATTAGTAATAAATCTTACTTTCTGAAAGCGTTGAACTGTTTCTAAAGCTCTTTAATGCAAACTAAGAATCCCTGCCTCTGAAGAGCGCTACTGTGTGTTTTAAAACGTTTGCATACATCTGTCTGCGGTGACATTGTGTATACAAACGATTATTCAAACATTATAGTGTTATTGCTGATATTGCCAAGTTTTCTCTTTCTCTGTACAAAAAGGAGGTAGTGGCAGTGTGAAGGGTTAATTGCATTATTAACCTGACCCAGTAACAATCGCTCTCAGGCTGCAGATACACAGACTGTGGTCCATTAGCTGGAAAATCTTTGTGCAGAGTGCAGCTGGGTGTGGCATTGTTATGCACGTGACAGTGCGGTTTTAGATTGCCTAGTCCTTCGGTCACGAGTTTGGTGAGAAGGGCTGGGGTCTGACTGCGCGATCGTCATACTTCCTCCCATGCTCTCTCTCTGGTTCTCCATGGTGAACAAACTTACAGACATGGAAAACCTTATGTTCACCCTGTGTAACAAAGAAGAATCCTTTTGTGACACATGGCACCCCTGGGACTACTTTGTCTTTACAGATACTCACTTGAATGAGCTTACACCTCCCCATTGAAGCTCGCCTTTCTATGCCCCCACAAAGCTCCCCGGGAGAGGAGGATGCCTTATATTTTGCGCCCCTTCTCTTTCCTCTCTCTCTCTCTCTCCATCTGGCCCCTCCTCCTCATGACCCTTCCATCTCTCTCTACCCTTCCCTTCCTTCCCCCTTCTGCAGTCTACTCCGGGGGAGGTGGGGTCCTCTCCCAACCCCTTGGCTGCACACCAGTTTGGCCTAGCGTAAAGGGCTGGAAATGCTGTCCATTCTGTTTTAGAGATATCAGCGGATTGGAGAATTCCATCCCACCTAACTGTGCGCCCATCCCTCTACACTTCCACATGCTATTACCGTTTCCTTGGTCCATGATATTTTTCAAGATATGTTTTTTCAATTGTGACTGTTTTCAAATACTTATGCCTTTTGTTTCTAGTTATGTCTATTTTTTTATCTAAATGTTCTGTACGTTGTGGCATTCCTGTGTATTGTTACTGGGTATATTTCTTACACTGATGCTCTGTTTTGCCTATGTGTACGCTTTATTTGTATACAGTTAGGTCCATATATATCTGGACACAGGCACAATTTTCATACATTTGGCTCTGTATGCCACCAGAATAAATTAAAACAAAACAACTCAAATGAAAGTGAAGACTTTCAGCTTTAATTCAAGGTGTTGAACATAAATATCAAATACAAATTTTAGGAACTGCAACCATTTTTATACACAGTCCCTTAATTTTCAGGGGCTCAAATGTAATTGGAAAAATGAATATAATCATAAATAAAAATTTCATTTTTAATATTTTGTTGAGAATCCTTTACTGGCAATGACTGCATGAAGTCAAGAACCCATGGACATTACAAAAGACTGGGTTTCCTCCTTTCTGATGCTTTGCCAGGCTCTAACTGCAGTTGTCTTCAGTTGTTCTTCAATTGTGGGTCTTTCTGCCTTTAGTTTTGCCTTCAGCAAGTGAAATGCATGCTCAATTGGGTTGAGATCACGTGATTGACTCAGCCATTGCAGAATATTCCACTTCTTTTCCTTCTAAAACTCCTGGGTTGCTTTTGCTGTGTGGTTTGGATCATTGTCCATCTGTACTGTGAAGCGCCATCCAATCAACTATGCTGCATTTGGCTGAAAGTAAAACTAAACCCATTGATTTAACAGTTAAAATAAACGTTCCATTCAAAGCATTCCAGGAATGTAACTGTCACATTTGCTTGTGCTGTTAACCAAACTGTCAAACCATCAAATGGCTGGTGTCATAACCTTTACAACCACTTTTAAACATCACTAAAGGCAAAATGTTTTTTTGTTTTGGATAGAATGTAGAGAAATGCTGGTAAGTTAACTGACTCCTGTCTAAATTGGCCCTAGTATGTGTATTTATGAATGTGAGTTAGGGACGTTAGATTGTACACTCCTTGAGGGTTAGGGACTGATCTGAATGTACAATATATATATGCAAAGCACTGCATAAATTGACAGCACTATATAAGTACCTATAATAATAATGATAAATTTAGCCACTGTGCTACTCATGTAAGCCCAGTCAGTTTTTTTTATTTGCCATGTGTATCCCATTGTGAAGATTTTCCTTTATTTCCTGTTCCATAGCCAAAACAGGAAGTGAGAGAGAGATAATACCTCTAAGGCAGGGGTGGGCAACTGTGGCCCTCCAGCTGTTGTAGAACTACAAGTCCCATGAAGCATTGCAAAACTGAAAGTTACAAGCATGACTCCCAAAGGCAGAGGCATGATAGGACTTGTAGTTTTGCAACAGCAAGAGGGCCACAGTTGCCCACCCCTGCCTTAGAGGTATTATCTCTCTCTCACTTCCTGTTTGGCTATGGAACAGGAAATAAAGGAAAATCTTCCCAATGGGATACACATGGCAAAAAAAAAAAAAAAAACTGACAGGGCTTACATGAGTAGCACAGTGACAAATGTATCATTATTATTATTATTATTATTATAGGTACTTATATAGTGATGTCAATTTATGCAGTGCTTTGCATATATGCATATATATATATATATATATATATATATATATATATATTGTACATTCACATCAGTCCATAACCCTCAAGGAGTGTACAATCTAATGTCCCTAACTCACATTCATATATACACATACTAGGGCCAATTTAGACAGGAGTCAGTTAACTTACCAGCATGTCTTTGGTGTATGGGAGGAAATTGGAGTGTCTGGAGGAGACCAGTGCAGGCACGGGGAGAACATGCAAACTCCAGGCAGGTGGTGCCATGGTTGGGATTCAAACTGATGACCCTAGTGCTGCCAGGCAGAGATGCTAACCATTTAGCCACTGTGCTGCCCCCATATGTTTAGCACTTCCACCTAGCAGCACTAGGGTTATTGGTTTGCATCCCAACCACGACACCACCTGCCTAGAGTTTGCATGTTCTCCCTGTACCTGTGTGGCTTTCCTCTGGGTACCTCTGAGGTTCCACCCAAAAAAAAAAAAGTATATATATATATATATGCCACCTGTGCAAATAAGTCCATCCATGAAATTTCTTTGCTACTAAATATTCCACAGTCCACTGTTAGTGGTATTATAACAAAGTGGAAGCAACTGAGAACAACAGCAAGTCAGCCGTGAAGTGGTAGGCCACGTAAAAATGACAGAGTGGGGTCAGTGTGCAGAAGTCACCAACTGTCTGCAGAGTCAATAGCTAAAGACCTCCAAACTTTGTGTGACCTTCATATTATCAGAACAGTGCGTAGAGAGCTCCATGGAATGGGTTTCCTTGGCTGAGCAGCTGCATCCAAGCCTTACATCACCAAGTGCAATGCAAAGCGTCGGATGCAGTGGTGTAAAGCACGCCACCACTGGACTCTAGAGAAGTGGAGATGCATTCTCTGGAGTGACCAATCACGCTTCTTTGTCTGGTAATCTGATGGACGTGTCTGGAGAACGGTACTTCCCTGATTGCATTGTGCCAAGTGTAAAGTTTGGTGGAGGGGGATTATGGTGTGGGGTTGTTTTTCAGGGGTTGGACTTGGCCTCTTAGTTCCAGTGAAAGGAACTCTTAAGGCGTCAGCATACCAGGACATTTTAGACAATTTCATGTTCCCACCTTTGTGGGAACAGTTTGGGGATGGCCCCTTCCTGTTCCAACATGACTGCTCACCAGTGCACAAAGCAAGTCCTTACCTCAACCCAATAGAACACCTTTGGGATGAATTAGAGCTGAGACTGCAATCCAGGCCTTCTCGTCTGACATCAGTGCCTGACCTCACAAATGCACTTCTGGAAGAATGGTCAAACATTCCCATAGACACACTCCTAAACCTTGTGGACAGCCTTCCCAGAAGAGTTGAAGCTGTTATAGCTGCAAAGGGTGGGCCAACTCAATATTGAACTCTACAAAGACTGGGATGCACGTGTAATAGCAGGCATCCCAATACTTTTGGCAATATAGTGTGTGTATATATATATATATATATATTTTTTTTTTTTTTTTATTATTTTTATGTATTTATGTTTTTGCCACAATGTGTATCACGTTTTCTCACCCCATATACTGCTTTTCCATGATGACATCTCTACTCCTGTTCTTTGTAACATGTTAATTATTTTGTTTGTGGATGTGTTTTTATGATATTGTGAGCTAAAAAGTAGTAAAACTATATCCTAGTTACTCTCAGCCAATACAAAAGGCAATTGAGGGTTTGTGGTCTCACAATTTTGCACATTATGGTGACTTAGCAGTAAGTGATCTGTGGAAATAATTTTCAACTCTTGCCAAGCGTCCTGAACTACACTTCCCATAATGCCATGTGCTGCGGAACAAACCAGATGCTCTAGGGGATTTTGTAAGGAAGGGCAGTCTTCGAGATGCCGGTATATTATGGCCGTTCATTGCACCTCTTTTATTCAATGAAATGCATTTTTGAAGTGCTCACGATGCACGTGAAGTTATATTTCTTTTGCATCCGTATCTTTTTAGGTAATTTTATTTGACATTTCTACGCTCCAGTTGCAGGCATTTCTAAAGGCAGCCGGAAAGAGGAGTCAGGAAACCAGGCAGCCCGAGGACCCCGTTGCTGTGCGGCGGCTGTTGTATCGGAGTGCCCAGTGTGACCAATCGGGGTCGCAGCAGAGTGATCGCTGGTCTCCGGCTGTCTGTCGGGTGCTCATTCCGCACCATGAGCTCCGTCGGTGTGATGTCCCCGGTAGCTGCTCCAGCGACTGATTACTATGAAGAGGAAGATCTGGAGAGCGCCGAGGAGGAGGATGACCGGAGTTTCCGGGGCCGGGAGTCTGATGAGGGTGAGGGATTCTGCGGGCTTTGTTTACACTTTGCTCCGACAACATGTCAGGGCTGTGGGGAAGTGACGTCATGGATGGGATCCCTGCTGTCATGGGTTGGATCCCCCAGTGACCAGGCAGCTGTCTAATACTCCCCAACTTTCTGAGATGGGGGAAGGGGTGCCTGTCGGGCTCATTCACTATGAGCAGCAAAGGGGGTGTGTCTCTGACAACTCTGTGGGCTGAGGGCACACTCTGCTGTTCTTGGTCCGCACATTGCTTAGTGCCAGGCTGAAAGTTGTACAACTTGTACACAGGCTGAAAGTTGTACACCTTGTACACAGGCTGAAAGTTGTACACCTTCTTCCCTCTATAGAGATCCATGGATTCCTGAACTTTCCAGCTGGAGGCTGTGTGCTCTGCTCATATCCATTCTGAGGAACATCCCAATACACGTGCAGGAAAGCACACAATGGGCTCCTCCATATGGATGGTGGTAAATGTAGGCAGCTGAGCTGGAGTTTTAGTACCCACCTTAAAGCGGTATTAAATCCCGAACCAAAAATGTCATATATTGCTGCTTATCAATCGTTGGATGTCGTGGCTGCATTACGTTTCTCTTATTTAGGCTTCTCCCTCTGTTTTCACCTGGTGATCTGGTCAGTAAACGCATCTCCTGTATTAGAGTGCCCCCACTTTGGATGTAGACCCACAGGGGGTGCCTTTGGATAGCAGCATTGTCAGTCTGGGGGGAGGAGGAGTGTTAGGTAGCCTAGCAAATTTAGATACACTAACACATTGAAGCGGAGCTTCAGCTCTCACTTTATAAGCATTTACAGCAACAGTTTTGTTGCTTTTGGGAATAAAGGTTTTACATGAATAAATAAAATGCGATCATTGTAAGCACCCCTGTCAGTGGTACATGGTTTGTCTCAACCCTCTAATTACTTCATCTGCAGGACAGCTTGTTCTTTTGAAAAATAAAAGACTTACAGGACCACCAGGTGGAAATAGGGCGGCACAGTGGCTTAGTGGTTAGCATGTCTGCCTTGCAGTAAATGGGTCATGGGTTCGATTTACGACCATGGCGCCTCCTGCATGGAGTTTGCATGTTCTCCCTGTGCTTGTGTGGGTTTCCTCCGGGTGCTCAGGTTTCCTCCCACACTCCAAAGACATGCTGGTAGGTTAATTGGCTCCTGTCTAAATTGGCCCTAATATGTGTATGTATGAATGTGAGTTAGGGACCTTAGATTGTACACCCCTTGAGGGTTAGGGACTGATGTGAATGTTATATATATATATATATATATATATATATATATATATATGTGTGTAAAGCGCTGTGTAAATTGACAGCGCTATACAAGTACCTTAAATAAATAAATAAATAAATAGAAGAAAGAGCCTGAAAAATGAAAGCAGACATTATATCTAAGAATTGGTAACCTGCAATATAATGTTTGAAAAACAAAAGACATACAGGATCACCAGGTGACAATCAAAGAAAGAGAGCCTAAAAACAAAAGCAAACATCACATCTAAGAATTGGTAAGCTGCAAAATAATGTTTGCTTTTGGGTTTAAAACCTCTTATAACATATACGCAGTGAAGTGACTGGTCTCAGGTGATCCTCCTACATAAGTTGTACCCCTTTATTTGCAGTCTCCCTTTCTCCACAAGTCCAGAATTTAAGTTTGTCTGGGAGTTCAGAATAAATGTGTTGGAGAGCTGAAATGATGCACTAGAAAAAATGCGAATATATGCGAGCGCAGAAACAGAAAAGCAGCTAGCATGAAAGGCGAACCTCTTGACCTCCAGATAATGCAATACGATATAAATGCAGATCTCTTTGATAATGTGCTGGTGCACGAAACATGTCAGGGAGGAGCCTACCAGAGTGATGTCACGCCGCAAATGGCCGGCGGCCATTTTACTATATCTCATTTCCACATGTGAGTGCTTTTAATTCCTTATGCTGCTGAAGTTTTATTAATAAAAATACTACACTATCAGTACCCATTTGTCTCTCGCTTGCATCATGCGAGCCCCTAAGGTGGAGATTTCCCCCAATTGCTGATGTTCTGATCCAGTAATAATTTGGAGCTGTCCCCTGGAGCGGAGTGAGTCCTGTGAGGGAGTGGTGTTACCCTGTGTGCCTACGGTGTGCTTGAAGACCCTGCAGCCCCTGTCCAGACCCAGATGATCAGTGGCGGAGAGAGAGATATATACACATGCGCATACCTTTTGCGCTTCTGCTGAGTGCATTAATTTACTGGCCCTCGTCATAGAGATTACTGACACGGAGCACGGATCACTAATCTATCTGGACTTGATTGGCATTCTCTGTGTATGATGCACTACAGTCACTTTATATATTGACTTTATATATCCCCTTTTCTGATACGTCATCTAGAGACGATTCTGCATGTTATCACTTCTTATGCGCTGCAATAGCGCTCACATCCCATTACTCATACTTTTAGCGCTGCAATTATATCGTATTGAAATGATGCACTGCAGAGCTCAATGAGGGATCTCTGAGAGCTGATAGGAGGGAAGAAACGCACCCCCTTCACACAGAAACAGAGCTGAGGCTGTGAATCTGCTGGAGGTCCCCTCTCCCTGTCACCATTCTTCTCTTGGTGTCAGGAAAACTTGTCAGAAGTGACTCATGCTGATAGCAGAGGAAGCTGCAGACAGAGATGACACTGCTCTGAGTCAAGTACACACTGTAGAGGGATATGCTTTGTTCATATTTTCATGTCTGAGGTTTACAACTATTTTAAGCTACAACTGTGGACAGATAGGGTTGTAAAGATGCTGCAATGTTTTGCTTTGCTGCTGCAGCAAAAATGATTTTGTGTTGCATTTGTTGGATTGTACCTCCACTGAATGTGACCCATTCAAGCAAACAGGTCTGCTCTGCAACAGCAAGCTAGATGCTATGCTTGTGGTTGCAGTGCAATGTCCCCATTCAAAATCCCCATATGGCTGCCCAAAAAAAAAAAAAAATATCAGGCATTCAATAGGTGGTAGTATTGTCACCTGAAAGCCTGGCAGTGCTCCTGTACTGCTAAAGCAATGTACTGCAGATTGCCTTTCAGAGGGTTGTCAAAGAATGGCAGCCATGTGAACAAGCCCTTTAAGGTGTATTTATAAAAGAATATACATAGTCGTTGGTCCGGTGACTCTGCGTGTAAAATTGGCAAAACTAATATTCTTTATGCCACTTTCTCTTTTGAATGGATGTTCTTTTATTATGGACAGTAGTAAAATACTGCCAGTAAGTGGAGCTGAGAAGCATAGGAAATTGGGTATGTTTACTTTCTAATTCCAGCAACATTCTTTTGGAAATGTTACATTGTATCTCTTGATATCCAGATGTGTGTATTTTCTGTTGTCCTCTCCATTCAGTGAAGCTGAGGAGTGGAACGCCAGAAACATAATGAATAGAGGTGAGTTCAGGTATCCTTCAAATATATCTCTTGCTGAACTTGCACGCTGCGTTTTTTTTTCTCTCAAATGATCTATGGGCCGGGTCATTCTCACCCCGCAGCCCACCTCTTTGTTTGTGTTATGAGGCAGACAGCTCATAAGAGGATGAAAAAAGAGCGCAAGTTCAGCTAGAGATGAGTTTGCAGGACACTTGAACTCCTCTTTATGATGATGTGTGTTACATAATTAGTTTTCCAAACACTACTACAGTTGCAAGAAAAAGTATGTGAACCCCTTGGGATTACGTGGAGTTTTGCATGAATTGGGCATACAATGAGCTCTGAACGTCATCTAAGTCACAACAATAGAAGAACACAGTCTGATGAACATAATACTACACACAAACATTAGATGTTGCCATGGTTTAATTGCACATAACATGTAAACATTCACAGTGCAGGGAGGAAAAAGTATGTGAACCTTTGGACTTCATAACTGGTTGACCCTCCTTTGGCAGCAATAACCTCAACCAAACATTTCCTGTAGTTGCAGATCAGACCTGCACAATGATCTGGAGTAATTTTGGATCACTCCTCTTCAGAAAATGGTTTCAGTGTAGCAATATTCTTGGGATGTCTGGTGTGAATCGCTCTCTTAAGGTCATGCCACAGCATTTCAATCAGGTTGGGGTCAGGACTCTGACTGGGCCACTCCAGAAGGCGTATTCTGTGCTGTTGCAGCCATTGTTTTGTTGAATTACTGGTATGCTTTGGGTCATTGTCCTGTTGCATCACCCATCCTCTGCGGAGCTTCAGTTGGCGGACAGATGGTCGTACGTTTTCCTGCAAAATGTCTTGATAAACTCTGGAATTCATTTTCCCATCAATGACAACAATCCATCCAGGCCCTGAGGCAGCAAAGCAGCCCCAAACCATGATGCTCCCTCCACCATGTTTTACAGTGGGGATGAGGTTTTGATGTTGCTGTACTGTGCCTTTTTTTCCACACATAGTGTTGTGTGTTCTTCCCAAACAACTCAATCTTGGTTTCATCTGTCCACAGTATATTTTGCCAGTAGTGCTGTGGAACATCCAGGTGCTCTTTTGCAAACTTCAAACGTGATGCAACATTCTTTTTGGACAGCAATGGCTTCCTCCGTGGTGTCCTCCCATGTACTCCATTCTTGTTTAATGTTTTCCTTATTGTAGATGTGTCAACAAAAATGTTAGCATGTGCCAGAGATTTCTGTAGGTCTTTAGCTGACACTCTGGGATTCTTCTTTACCTCGTGCAGCATTCTGCGCTGTGCTCTTGCAGTAATTTTTACAGGACGACCACGCCTAGGGAGAGTAGCAACAGTGCTAAACTTTCTCCATTTGTAGACAGTCTGTCTTACCGTGGACACATGAACATCAAGGCCTTTGGAGATACTTTTGCAACCCTTTCCAGCTTCATGCAAGTCAACAATTCTTGATCGTAGGTCTTCTGAGAGCTCTTTTCTGCGAGGCATGGTTCACATCAGACAGTGCTTCTTGAAACCAGTAAACCCAAAACAGGTGTGTGTTTTTTAAGGGCAGGACAGCTGTCAGCAACACATCCAATATCATCACACTGATTGGAGTCAAGGTTGGCTCACAACTGGCTCCAATTAGCTCTGGGAGAAGTCATTAAGCTAGGGCCTCACATACTTTTTCCTCCCTGCACTGTGAATGTTTACATGTTATGTGCAATTAAACCATGGCAACATCTAATGTTTGTGTAGTATTATGTTCAGCAGACTTTGTTCTTCTATTGTTGTGACTTAGATGACGTTCAGAGCACATTTTATGCCCAATTCATGCAAAACTCCACGTAATCCCAAGGGGTTCACATACTTTTCCTTGCAACTGTAGTGTGCTGCACCCTAAGGCCCGTACACACGATAAGAAAATCATATGAAGATTTTCGTTTGAGGACTGATCGTCCAATAATCTGATCGTTAGTACACAGCTTTCAAGAGCTGATCACAACAGTTCATGCAACAATATCCAAAGGGACAAGCTTGAGAATTTTTCTCATATGTTATCAAATCGTACGATTTTCATTTAATCAGTACAGTAGTCATCTGAAAATACAATGCAAATATAATACAATACATTACATCACTTTTGAAATTCTTTTCTTTTGTACGAGAATTTTTGTAAGTTTAGTACCCTCTTCATTTTTGATATGGCGACTAGCATGTAAAACAAACCCCGGCTGATTATTCATCTGACATTCTTATCGTGTGTATGGGTCATTACTATAACAGTACTGGTCAGGCTGCATATCTTTAGTGCTGATGATGATGGCTGCCTGCAGAGAATGATCTTATTCAACACCTCTGATAATAGAACTGACATATCTCACTCACTTTATTTCCTGTTCATAGTGATGGGCCAATAAAACGTATGATATGAGGTCAGGACAGTGCCTAACCCCACGAGCAAGACTTGAAACGTGCTTGTATATAAAGCTGTTCTTTGCTGTTTTACAAGCCGCTTTTGCCATATTTCATGAAAAGTGAAATCAGTCCAGGAAATTTGTTGGAAGGATAGATTTTTGCCCATTAATAGACATTACACTTGTTTTTCCATACAATTATACCAAGGATTTCTACAATCATAAACTTGGTGTAATTCAAATGTCCAATATATGAAAAATGAAGAAACTTTCCTCCGTATACCATCCTTTCATTACTTCACCTAACAAATTTCCATTAAAAAATAATTGCAGGTAAGTATCTACACCTAAAGGTAAAGCAAGTTGTGGGTTTTTGTTTTTTTTTTTATTCCAAACTAAACTCCAACCAATAAAACTCATATTTACTCCTATACAAAACAACAGCCTGGTTTCCAGTGCCTAAGCTCTTATTCTTCCTTATATCTGCTATATAGGATAATACGAGAAGACAATATAAAGAAAGCTTTCACAGAGTGTTAGCACTATTTAAAATGGGGGTTTAGTTCCACATTTGAAGTAAAGATAATATAGCGGAACTAAACCCTCCTATCCTTTTCAGCCAAGGAAACTGCTATCTTAGCCTCTGTTTGATCATCAACTGCCATGGTACTGCACATGGTTATGCATCTTCCTTCTAAAAAAACAAAAAAAAATGTTGCTTGGCTTTAGATGGTGCCAATGCCTTTTGAGTGACAGACCTTGAGCAAGCATGATGTACAACATGAGCATCAGAATTCCTTAGCTGTATGCTTTTTCCAGGTCAGTGACTCAGGAAGCTTTGAACCCACTGCAGTATCTGAGAGCCAGCCAACAAGCATTTTCAGAATGAATGAGTACAATAACAGCCTTCATGATTCTCTAATAAAAGGTTTCCTTTAAGATTGTAAAAATGATAAGGATCTACAGTGATCAGGGCTTCGTAAGAAGACTTGTACACAGCGTGAACCTATGTTCCAGGCTCTTCTATGAAGACAAGCACAGTACCTGTGACTGGATTTTACCAATAATATTAATGCACTATGTTGGACGTGACAGGATCTCAAGCATTTTTATTATTCTGTGTTGCTTTTAGGCCTCATTCACACTTGGAAGTGGGGTGTTCAATTATTATTGCTGGAGACCCCAGCGGGGGATCCTGGTGGCTGGCTGCAGTCAGCAGCTCTATTGAAAGCAATGTGAGGCTGACGGCTTGCACAGTGAATTGCGCCCTGACTATCTGCGTCCTGTACTCACAACTGATCCAGAGGAAGGCAAAAAAACTGCAGCAAAGCATGATCCAATTTGCTCCTGCAGGGGAAAAAATTATTTTCCTGATCCCCCAAGAGGCAATCGGATATTCCCTGGATCAACTTTACCTATAAATGTTACTATACAGTTTTATTATGTGTATCTAGGAAAGAATCCAGGCCTTTTTTTTTTTTTAAAGCAATCCACTGAGCTGGCCAGAACCAACTCTTGAGGGAGTCTATTCCACATTTTCACAGCTCTCACTGTGAAGAAACCTTTCCGTGTTTGGAGATTAAATTTCTTTTCCTCCATACATAAAGAGTGCCCCCTTGTCCTCTGTGACCTCAGGGTGAATAGCTCTACACCGAGTTCACTATATGACCACTGATGTATTTATACATGTTGATCATATCCCCCCTTAATCTCCTCTTCTCAAGAGAGAATAAATTCAGTTCCTCTAATCTTTCCTCATAGCTGAGCTCCTCCATGCCTCGTATCAGTTTGGTTGCCCTTCTCTGTACTTTCTCCAGTTCCCCAATGTTCTTTTTGTGAATTGGTGCCCAAAACTGAACTTCATATTCCAGATGAGGTATTACTAATGATTTGTACAGGGGTAATATGATATCTCTCTCTCTGGAGTCTATACCTCTTTTAATACAAGAGAGGATTTTGCTCTCTTTAGAAACTGCAGCTTGGCATTGCATGCCATTATTTAGCTTGTGATCTACCAGAACTCCCAGATCCTTCTCCACCATTGATTCCCCCAGTTGTACTCCCCTAGTATGTATGATGCATGCATATTCTTAGCCCCCAAGTGCATAACCTTACATTTATCAACATTAAACCTCATTTGCCATGTTGTGATGCAGTTTTACAGTGACTAATTATTATTTTTCTTTCCAATTTTGTGTCCTGTGAAGACACTGAAGATGCTAGTGAGACTGATCTGGCAAAGCATGACAATGTGGACTATGTGGAAATGAAAGAACAGTAAGTAATGGACAGCAATAATATCAACCTTTTTTTTGGATTGGATGAACACAAGAAGGATGTACGTATTAAATGGGGCATTAGATGTTGGATGTGTGTATTTTGCAGTATATGCATCATAGTGAAGGTGTCTGGAGGAGAAATATACAGTGATTGGCTTATGGGGTGTTTGGAAACATGGCATCTTTCAGAAAAGTAGGCCAGTAATAGTAACTGCACTTCATTGTATAGTTGAATCCCCATGAGTGCAATTTGCCTATGTTTATTGTACTCTGAGCAAGAACTGATATTTTCTTTTGCATTTAATTTATTGACTTGTCAAATTTTACAAGTGGACTAAAACGAAGGCCATTGGATCATACACAACATATGACAAATAAGGTGTCAAATACAATGGGTTAAATGACGCAGGAAAATATGCAAACTGTGCAATAAACAGTATAGCAACAATGGTGACACCCAATGGTGGACCCGGCCTATATTGATTGCCTGACCTTTTATGGATAAACCAATGCACTTCTTTTGTCCAGTACAAAAAGTCCACAATAATAGTTTTTATATCACTGTGTTGTTACTTCTTAATCATGAGCCACATGCTCGCCTCCACCAACTGCACCACCTGCTGACCTTCACAATATGACCTACATACGATATAGGTCAATACACGCTTTCCCTTTAAATAAGGTATTCCTCTCCTGCCTAGGTTTTACTCCAGATGCATAAGGATGGGATTCACCTGTATCAAGCTCTCCCAGATGTTAGACTCCATTAGAACTAGGCCTTCATATACCATTAAACATAAACTGTTACTGATGCATCTCGTCATAGTCACATAACACCAGTCGTTTTTATGGTTTGACAGTTTGGTTGAAAGCGCAAGCAAATGTGACAGCATTTCCGACATGCCAGGAATTTTAACTGTTTTTTTTTTTTTTTTTTTAAACTGGTAAATCGATGGGTTTAGTTCCACTTGTAAAGTGGAACTTTACCCCAAACAACTTGATAAAAGAAAATGTTTTTTTTATTGGGGAACACACATCCCACATTAATAATTATGGTACCAAGCTTAGTGTGTGCTGTCAATTGTCCCCAACATTGTTCCCATTTCTTCTTGCCAGAGGTTGCCATTTTGCTAAAGCCCAGAGTCTTGAGCAGCAGTAAATCTTTAGACTGTTAACAGATTGGCCTCTACAAATTCAGCACATGCAAAAAATAGAGAGCAACTAAGCATGTGCAGTGCAGGGTGAGACTGTAAATTACTGGATTTTAAACAGTATAGGCACTTATTTTTAATGTTATACTTGTAGAAGGGGCCAGCATGAAGTGATCTAGCAGGACTTAATTTTCTGACTAAAGTTCCTCTTTAATAAAATCCTAGACATTTTCAAGGATAGTGTTTTTTTTTTTTTTGTTTTTTTTTTGGGGGGGGGGGGGGAGATCAACTTCACAGTTGATCTTTCAACCTGTAGCTGTACACGTATCTTACTTTTTTAACCTAAGAATAGAAAAATAACCTACCAATCTCGATTTTTGGCTCCAGGATTGAGTGAATTTGTCTACCTTAGGTTTGGTCCATGGTAGTGCTCTTATTTCTTTTGCAAGGATTTGTCAGGTATTTTTATGTACTTCTGGTGAGAACAGTGCAGGGTAGTGTGCCATAAGAAAATTACTAAATGGTATAAAACACTGATATGGGGGTAAAGAGCACAAGTCCCTTTTTTTTTTTTTTTTTTTTTTTTTTTTTGTCCCAGCTCTGAAAATGAATGTGCCATGGACGGATATGTACCCAATAAAGATAGAATTGAATCTCTGCATTTTCCTTCCAGCTTGGTGATTCAGCAGATGCTAAAGCCATTTGGTCAGCATGACAGCTAGGTCAAAAATGGTTGCCTCTGTATTTCTCTCAGCACAGGATTCCATTAAACTGCATCTAAACCAATAAGTAAACACTCCATATATTGCAGCTGATCAGTACTTAGATGTGGTGGCTGTATCATTTTTGTTTTGTTTCCAGGCCCTTTTTTTTTTTTTTTATTTTAACCTGGCAATCCTACAAATAATGCACTTCCTGCCCTTGGGTGGCTAAGTTTACTCAACACTTTGTATCCATCGAGAGAGTATGATGATCAGCCTTGGCTGCCTTCTTGATTTGAACTACAAGATTTTATTGCTTACAGGAGAGAGCTTGAAAGAAAGATAGCACTGTTTGTGCTTTTTGGGGGTTTTTTTTTTGCACTTTAGTTCTGCTGTAATCTGGAACTGTGTTCCTCTGTAAGTCCCCTTTCACACTTTAGCGTTTTTCAGCTTGACGCTCAAAAGCACTCAACAAATAAAATCCCATTATTTCCAATGGCCCTGTTCACACTTGAGTGTTCTGTCGCCTGTAGCAAAATGCCTGTCAATCAAAAAGTACTTGCGTTATTTTTCAGGCAGATCTGAGCTTTTTTTTCTCCTTTGACTTGATTGGAAAATGCTTGAACAGTGGGAATGAGCGGTTTTTCAAGTGTTTGTTTTTTGTTTGTTTTTTTCAGGCGGTTTCAGCTCAAATAGCAGCTATTTCTATATCCCACAGCAAAAACGCGTAAATAAAAAATGCCTAAAAAAATTGCTTATAATATTTTGAAAATCTGCTAAAAAAAAAATGCTTAGACACCTAAAAAAAAAAAAAAACCCAAAAAATCCTACTTGAAAAAAAATGCCTGATAAACGCTCAGCTTAATGTGAATGGAGCCTAAGGCCCTGTGCACATTTGAGCATTTTGTAGTTTATAGCTCAAATCACAAAAACACTCAACAAGCAAAAACAATAGCCCTTGTTCATATCTGAGCACTTTGTCACTTGTAGCAAACTGCCTTTTGCTAAAAAAAAAAAAACAAAAAAAAACACACAAGCTAATTTTCAGGAAGAATTTAGCTTTTTTTTTTTTTTTTTTTTTTGTCCCCATAGACTTTATTAGAAATGCCTGAAATGCACAACGTGAGTGGTTTTTCTCATGTTTGCAGCTCAAACAGCAGCTCCTTTTTCAGCTTTCCATTGGCCACTTAAAAAAATGCCTAGTTGAAAAATTCCTGACAAAAGCAGCAAAAATGTACAATTGTGCTCTAAAAAACACTTGAAAACGTGATGCTTAGGTGTGCATGTACCCTAAAAGTGCAGTTGTCTTTTTAAAACCTGAGATACCATGCAAATGTGGATCTACTTCTTCATAGGTACTATCCCTTTAAGAATGGATTTGGTTTGTTTTTACATCTGCTAGAAAAGTAAAAGAGGCCATGCTGCAGTTCACATTTTCTTCTGAAAGTGATTGCTATATCAAAAAATTGCATCCACTATTTGATTTAGCCATATTGTATCTTTTTAGAATGTATCAAGATAAGTTGGCTTCTCTCAAAAGACAGTTGCAACAGCTTCAAGAAGGTAAGATATTTTTGCAAAACCTTCATTCTTGGCTCAGTTTGGCAATAGATTTGGTAATTAAGGAAAATAAGAAATGTCTGCTTCTCAGTTCTTCTTTCTACATGACAGCCAATGATTAAGTAGCTGTGTTGGTACGCTTTTTCCCTATGGTGATTTCCACCAGTAGCCATATAGTGGTGAATGGCCAGACTAATGGAGTCCAGGGACAGACTGTATATTGTTACAAGAAAAATGATTGCGGCAAATATCGATTATATACCAATATATTTTATCGCTTAATTTCAAGCGTTGTCACTGTAACCAAAAAATAATCATAGAAAACAAACTGCCAAAAGGATGGGCAATAAGTAGTCACTGTGGTGACAGATATCTTTTGAATTGAAAAATTCTGAAAAAACAGTCTTCAGTACCAGGCATTTTAAAACATATTTTTTTTTATTAATATAACTCAAGATATAAGGCGAGCGCAGAGGCTAAGGTAGCTGCTAGCACAATAAAGGCAAGGTAACAAACCCACAATATGTCAATACAAATGTAAGTGCAGCGCTAAATATGTGTTAAATGCAATCATAAAGTGCTTATGTGAGTAAAGTGGTCATACAATATCCAAGTGACATAAACATAATAAAATGTCTCAGATCATATAAAGACATAGAATTATATAAAATCTCTTAACGTCTGAACATAAATGGTGAATATAAATAGTCTGTGGCACTAAGGTCACAGAAGTGCCAAGTGATACGTGAGTGCTTGTTCAGCAATAATAGTGATTATGAATAGTCCGTGGCACTACAGGTCACAGCAATGCCCAGTGTTTGTGAAACTACAAGGTGCAGCAATGCCAGATGGAATACTTGAGAGTGCTCATGATCCAACATGGGAATCCGCCACCTTATATGGATATATAAGAACGCTACATGGGTAATAGCGTTAATGCTGATCCTTATGGGAGGGGGGTCTCAGGAAGCCACAAGCAAGGACTGGACATCTCCAGAATAAGGGCTATTCAAAAAACCAGCAAAAGGATCCTCCTTCTGGTGCTGCTTTTGGTAACAAATCTTCTACTCCCTGTAGTTAAAGTGCCTTAGTTAGGGTGCAGTGGTCAAAGTGCCTTGCACTTAGCACCAGAATGGCCCTTTGCACAAGGAGTAGCTGGCTATTCCTTGTGCGAAGGGCCATTCCGATGCCGTCACTGACACACAGGGCGCCAATTCGATGGATTCCCGGGTGGAAAGTTGGCGTCACTGGACGTGGTGTGCCATCAACGCGTTTCACTAGATGATAGTGTAGCTTCGTCTGAGGACCAGAAGAGAGTTGGAGTTAAAAAGGTCAAGTGCCAATAGTGTTCTTTATACCTTTGAACTATACAATTCGTATCATATCATTCTTCATTAACTTCATTGCTGCATTCATGCCTCTGTCTCCATACCATTTGATGTGTCCTATTTGAACCTTATGAATATTTGCGGTCCTTATTACCTGCAACAAGAAAACCGGGGACATTTACCCCTTTCTTTGGGGCTTATTAACTAATTGAATGGGACTCAATCCTTCATTCAACACTTGTTTGTAGATTTGCCTCACTGCTTAACATAGGGCCTGGCCCATATGGGAAATCGTCACTTGCAATTTTCTGCTTATTTATGAGCTCTTGATGCATTATAATGCGTATTGACGTTCCAGGGCCTCACGGGATCCCACACTCATACAGTATATGAGGGCTACCTTAATCTGTGTTTGTTAGGGCTCGTTCACACTTGACTGTTTTACCAACGCTTGCCAAACGCCCCTATAGCGTTTGGCAAGTGTTGGCCCGGCATTTGCGGAGCGGTTTTTAACGCTTGGCAAATGCTCCTCAAACGCCGCATGCGCGGTTTAGCGGCATTTGCAGAGCGTTAAAAACGCCCCACAAACGCCTATAATGAAGTTTGAATGGTGTTACCGCACCGCAAACGTCCCGCAACTGTGTTGCAACCACACCGCAAACACCAGCTGGGCGGCACCAAAGACTAGAATATGAGGCTTCAACGCCTCCTGACTCGACCAGAGGCGTCCGTTTTGCCGCGATGCGACTCTAATGCTCCCGTTAGAACAGCACCATGTGCTGCAATGTACAGAATTGTCCGAGGCATTTGGGAAGCAGTAAAAACGCTTCCCAAACGCCTCTCTGCCGTCTGCACACAACGCTAGTGTCAACGCAGCCTTACACTGTTGGACAGCATATTGCTTCGGTATGCCATTCTCATATGAGTCTAAGCAGGTGTCTGTACGTGGATATTTAAATTCACTAATGAATGTTCTGTTTGTTTTGCATTGTCTTTACGAATTGAATTTGCGGTGTAAGATGTTCAAATCTACACTGAAGTCTCAGTTAATCACAAAGTAATAAAAATTGATGTTTTAAAATGCCTGGTACTAAAGACTTTTTTCAGAATTTTTCAATTCATATGATATCTGTCACCACAGTAACTACTTGTTGCACATCCTTTGGGCAGTTTGTTTTCTAAGACTGTATATTGTCTATTTGGACCACCACACAGTAAGTTCATGTCAAGCACTGGCTAGAAATATTTCTGGGTATGAAATCACTATACAGAGAATACTAGGATAAAGAGTTAAAACTTTGATGCATGTCTGGGAACAAGCAAACGTATATAATCTGATTACATTTTGTGATTAAGTCAAGCAGAAATTTCACTGCACTCAGATCATTATAACTAAGAATAGACGTACTGTAATGTGTAACTTGGTCTTTTTTTTTTTCCCCCACTTTTTAGCAACATTCAATTCTTTGCTAGTTTTGCATCACTAGAGAAATATATTAATTGAGCCCTGTATGACAACAGCTGTTTGTTTTACAGACATTTTTTACTGTCATTATTATTATATGAGAATTTACAATTTTGAAGATTTCTAAACTATCTCAGCCTAAAGCCTTGTACATGTGATGAGAAAATCGGACAAGAAATACCACTTTTGAAGGGATCGTATGATAATCTGATCAGCTTTCAAGAGCCGATCACGACAGTTCATGTGAAATTATCCAAAGGGAAAAGCATGAAAGTTTTTTTTTTTTCTTTTTTTTTTTTTTCTCTCGTACAATTGCAGAATAAACAATTTTCGTGTAACCACTTGCTTACCGAGCACTTTTACCCCTTCGTGCCCAGGCCTATTTTCAGCTTTCATCGCTGTCACACTTTGACAATTGCGCGGTCATGCTACACTGTACCCATATGAAATTTGTATCATTTTTTTTTCATACAAATAGAGCTTTCTTTTGGTGGTATTTAATCATGTATGGGTGTTTTATTTTGTGCACTATAAACAAAAAAAGAGCAAAAAATTTGAAAAAAAAAAAACAAAACATTTTTTATTTCTGTGTTTCATTTATAAAATTTTGCAAACAGGTCATTTTTCTCCTTCACTAATGTACGTTGATGAGGCAGCCACTAACAGTTGACCGTGTAATATTTAGTAGCAGGGAAATTTCATGGATTGACTTATTGCATAGGTGGCAACCTATCACGCTCCTGAGTGCGTCCCATTCTTTCACAAATGTTTGTAGAAGCAGTCTGCACGCCCAGGTTCTTGATTTTATACACCTGTGGCCATGGAGGTGTTTGGAACACCTGAATCCAATGATTTGGAGGGGTGACCCAATACTTTTGGCAATATAGTGTATATTGTGAGCCATAACCTGGCTATACACTGATTGAAATTCCTCTAGTTCAGGAGGGACTGGCTGAATTTCAATCAGTTTGTGGGGTTGTTCCCACTCAAAAGACGATCATTTGATCAACTTCTGTTGAAAGGACGTACTGGAATATTTTTCTTGACCAGTGGCTGCAGCCACTGATCAGTGTATTCTGACAGTAGCAGGGAAAGCTGTCAAAATACATTGTCCCAGCAGGAAAGATTTCTCCATCCACCTCATTTGTGTTGAATGAATCTGTATTTTTTTTTTCCAGCCCACTTGGTGTACAAAATAAACAAACTATTTATGGCCAGCTTTAATCCAGCAAAATGCTTTAGATGATATTTACACTGCCCTACACATGAAGGACAACAACCCTAAACATACAGCCAGAGCTACAATGGAATGGTTTAGATCAAAGCATATTCATGTGTTAGAATGGCCCAGTCAAAGTGCAGACCTAAATCCAATTGAGAATCTGTGGCAAGAGGTGAAGATTGCTGTTCACAGATGCTTTTCATCCAATCTGACAGAGCTTGAGCTATTTTGTAAAGAAGAATGGGCAACAATATCACTCTCTAGATGTGCAAAGCTTGTAGAGACATCCCCAAAAAGACTTGCAGCTATAATTGCAGCGAAAGGTGGTTCTACATAGTATTGACTCAAGGGCTGAATGCAAATGCACGCCACACTTTTCAGATATTTATTTGTGAAAAAATTTGAAAACCCTTTATCATTTTTCTTCCACTTCACTATTATGTGCCACTTTGTGTTGGTCTATCACACAAAATCCCAATAAAATACATTTACATTTTTGATTGTAACATGACAAAATGTGGAAAATTTCAAGAGGTATGAATACTTTTTCAAGGCACTATATATTCTAGATAATCACCCACTCCAATATTTATTTTTTTTTTTTAATATACATGGTGAATCATTCACCACATGTAAGACATATGGTAGTGCCTGTACCTGTTTGGGGCCATTATCAAAACCCTTAGAATAACATATGTTGTATGAAAACAAATCTTTGATTTTCTTGTTGTAGAATGAGATGCTTGCATGAGCTTTATGGGCTTAAATATGTTAATGTATGTATGTGTGTGTGTGTGATTATTTATTTTAATTTTTTTTAACAGGGACATTGCAAGAATACCAAAAGCGCCTGAAAAAATTAGACCAGCAGTACAAAGAAAGATTACGAAATGCTGGTAAGAGCAAACTTATCTATTTATTTTGCAAAGTTTAATCCACACACGTAAACATTAAGTTAAACTGAGTTAGGTAGAGATCACTCCGAAGGACATTGCAAACTTTGCACCACAGTCAGCATTTTTTAAATGGCCCATAAATGCAGGTGGAATGTGAAGTAAGCACTGGGCTCTCGCTTCATTTTAATTAATCCTCTTAGTTTACTTCTAATTACTTTACCAGAGAAAAACTATTTGTGATCTGTAGTAGCAGGCTTACTGTGTTTGTTGATGCCCAAAGAATGGGGATCTCTTTGAATAAATCAGGAAATGGGAGGTTTGCCTATTCCTAATGTAGGGCTGCGTAGTGTTAATTTCTGAATAATTTGTCATATATAGACACATCAAAAGAAAAAAGTTGCATAGAAAATATACAATATGATACAGTCCTTCTGAATTGAAGTAGCTATACGAGATTCATTTTTTAATATGACCTATATCAATATTTGTTAGTGATGCATCGAAATGAAAATTCTGGACCGAAACCGAAAATTCAGGATGCACTTGGCCAAAAAAAACTAAATTAACAGTTTAAAAAAAAAAAATAAAATATGCTGCACAGCCATTATTGGCATCTTTTTTTTTTTTCCCCCTCCCGTCGGCAAAACTCCAATAACCCTATTTTCAGCCGATTACTTTTCAGCAGGCCACTGGTCAGGTGTATGGTGACATCAGCTGGCTTTGCATTGCGCACGCGCAGTTCCGGAGCCAGCCGTTTGGTAATCGACTTGGTCTCGGCGGAGATAGGCTTGAGTGGCGGGGGCTTCTGTCAGGTGATGTCTCCTTTACAGCAAATTTGAAAGCATCTGCAATGAATGGGCGCGGGGAGAGGAGAACCAAAGCTTGCAGGCCTTTACAGGTCAGTGTGTGACTCAGTCGCTCTATTGGGGGTTACTGATGTATGGAGTGAGTTGAGACCTTAAGGTAAGGGTGGACACTGATATAAGGGTCCCCCCTATGTCAGTGTCCTCACTCCTCTCTTACATCAGTAAACCCCTTAATGTAAGGGGGGGGGGGGGGCTGGTGACCAGAGAACCACAGTTCCCCTCTTGCATCAGGGCCTGCAGAGTTCTCCCATGCATTGAAAGGCAAACCCAGTGGACTCTGATGTACTGTAAAGGGCGCTCTGGGAACACTGGGAACTTTGATGTAAGGGTAAATTCTAATGTAAGGGCAGGAAGGAGACCCACTACAAAACATTTGAAAGGGTCCCACTGTGGGAGTAAAGGGCCCTTCATGGTGTTTTTGCACCAGGGCCCTGAAGATTCTAAAAATTGTAATGAAACATGTCAAGGCTGGGTTGCACGGTCCTCATCGAGTAATATGAGACCCAGAACGGAGCTGACAAGCCATTGAATCAGGTGAGCTGCTGAGTGTCTGAGTCATTTATATGGACACTGCATCTGAGTTGTTGATGGGCAATGTATAATGCTTGTTTTGTGAGTATTATTTTAACTGGGGACAAAAAAATGTTAATATTACTGCACTATTAGAGGCTTTTTTCCCTTTTTTTTTTTTTTTTTTTTACTGAGCGTGAGATCTGGATTCCTTAAAGGAGAAGTGATTGATCTTGCATGTTTATTTGCCAATAAAAGCCATATTTGCCAATCATTTTTATGAGAAGCAAATTTTTCCTATGAGCGAGTCTGATATCTGGTGTTTGGGGATTCACTGAGGTGAAGAATGAGGATTTTAACCACTGAACTTTTCCCTCTTTTATGCACACATTGGAAACTTAGTTTTAGGAGAAAAGAAGTTCATTTCAGAAGGACTATATTTTATTTTACTGTATATCATTTATGCACTTTTTTTTTTTTTGATGTGTCAATATATGATAAATTATTGGGGAATTAACACTGCACAGTCCTGCACATATTGGTGTTAATAAGGATTTGTTTATTTAAAGGTTGCATCGCTGGGAATGCATTTCACTTAAGAAGTACATTATTTTTTTTCTAAGATTGATTTGATTTTGGTTAGCACTTTGTGGCAGGGTGGGGTTGTAAATTTAATTTAGTTTATTTACAACATTAAGGAATTGATTATTCCTAATACAGTATCTTTACATTTTCTTGGACAATGGAAGATTCAAACCGTTCATATTATACTGTCAGCTTGCCAATTCTGTTTTCTCCATAAGTTTTTGAACATCCTCAGTATAAGTATAGTAATTCCTTATATGGAAGTTTAGTGTTCAGGTCCCTTATCCCCTGTAATACATTGGGTGTGGTAGGGAGACAAGAGATCCTAGCATTCATTAAGCCCTGGTAGACACGGTGCAACTTTTCTATGACACTATCTTAATAAGTGCGATTTGAACTACTTATTTCTGATTTCATTGTGGTTTGCATTGACTAATGTTAAATGAAGTCGCAAGCTGCAGTGAAATCAGAGGTACAAATTGCACTGATCTGTGGCTTTGAAATCTCGCTACTTCAAGTAAAGTAGCGTGATTCCAAAATTGCATTCAGTGTCAACCAAAGCTAAGGGTATATTTGTCTTCAGAAACACTGGGGTTGATTTACTAAAACTGAAGAGTGCAAAATCAGGTGCAGCTGTTCATGGAAGCCAATCCGTTTTTATCTTCAGCTTGTTCAATTAAAGTGTTACTAAACCCACAACAGTAAAATCAGTCTGTATATGCAGTGACGTATGCTTGTTATACTCGCTGTGGAAAGGGGTTAATCCTCCGCATTGTGTAAAAAGGATGTTTGATCCTGTCTTCTGATCCTCTGCTTCTTCTGCTGTCCCCAATCCATCTGCTGATAGAACAGAGCCTTTGGTGCAAGCTGCACATGCTCAGTTTGCTGTGTATTGCTAGAGAGTTTTTTTTTTTTTTTTTTCTTTTCTTCGGAGACAGCACTGTTCAGACAGAGGGTCAGGGGTCCTGCAGCCTCATAGGACTATCAGGAGAGAGTGCAAACTCCTCCTAAAAGCTTTAATCAGTGCTCTGCTGGACAGTGCTAGAAGTCACAAGACTGGTATATACTGCTGATGAGAAAAGGTATTTAAAAGTTTATATTTACTAAAATATTAGTATTTCTGTGCACTGTGGAAGACTGGATATAGTGAATGCAGGGTCATGGGTTTAGTAACACTTTTAGCTTTGACAAAAATACCTGGAGCCCAGGTTCACACTGATGCGGTGCAGGAAACACAGCGATTATTGTGCTTTTAACACACCACATAGAAATCGCATTGTGTTCATGTGATCTGTTGCAGGTGTCAATGTTAACGACACCCCAAAAGCAGGTTGCAAAACTCAGTGCGTTTTTGCATAAATCGGATCGCACGGGTATGAACACCCATGCAGTCTGATTCCAATGTGGTAAAAAAAAGGTGCCTTCACCTTTTCAATGCAGATACTTTGCAATTTGAGCCATGCAATATGGCTGGCTCAAATCGCACCGCACAAAATGACGTGTGATTTGCACAGGAATGGGGTGCGAATGTCGTACGGTTCCATAGTGTGAACCAGGGCGGAAGCTGACTGGTGTCTTTACAGATCTGCCTCAGATTTTGCGCTCTCCAGTTTTTGTAATTCAACCCCATTGTACCATGAGACAGAATCCGAGAACATACAAAGTACATTGCTATGTTATTCTGTCATTTTTTTCATTGCAATACTTCGTTTCTGCTTTCTAAAAGTTGTGTGTATTTTTTTTTTATTTAGTTTATTTTGCTGCTTAAAGCAGTAGTAACTTGGTAAAAATCTATTTATATTTTTATCCGGCCCCCCTGCAGCTTTTTGCCATAATGTGCTAGTCCGCACCTCATGCTTCCATCTTTACTTGATCTTCCTTCCAAAACTCATTTCAGGCTGCTTGAGTGGGTGAGCAGGGATGATGTTATTCCCTTGTGCACATGGGAGTGACATCACCATAGCACAGAGCTGGTGCCATAATGTGCTGTGTATGCATGGGTCAGTGTACATTACCACTCACTGCGGAGACCAATGGTGTCTCTTCTGCCATAAAAACCCTGCCTGTTAGTGTTTTTTAAATTGTATACCACTTTAGAGCTTTTGCGGTAGATTAGAAAATGTAGAACTAAGCTGTTTAGAGGAAATGCAATAAAGTAAATGTTATTTTTGTCTGGGAATGTGGGATTGGAGCTTGCTTTTCAAAAAGTGTTAAAAAAATAGGGTTGGAATGACACCACAAGTTAGAACGTACAACTAAGAAACTGTTCATATTTATTTTGAAAGCTAATTCAGCCTTTTACAAAAAATAAAAAACAAACAAGAAAAGAAAAATGTAACATAAAAATAGCGGAATCCATATTTGTAGCCAAAAAAAATGCATTTTATTTTTTACAAATGACCCTGCAAAGCATTGCAGCTGTGATCAGTGGATCACAGGTGCAATGCACAGGCTCCTGCATACTTCCAGCAACTTGGCCATACCAAGGTATGGACTTCCAGATACTGAGCTGAAGGAGGTATCAATGGACTATGAATGTGGTAATCATCACACTTGTGTTCCATTAAGAACTATAAGGCCATCTGCCAGATGGGATTTGTAGTTCATTCACAGATCTCTGTGAATGAACGATGAGGCTGTGTGGGTGAAGCTCCGCACAGCTGCACAAAAATCAAAAGTGACAGCTGCCGAAGCAAGTCCAAAATGTTTTTTTTTTTAACTTTTGTAAGAAGTCATTGATGCTACTATATATCTGTTGTATCCGTTGGAAATAATAAAGAAGAATTTTTTTCATTTTCACCTTGTTGCCGGCATTTCGTACTTTGGAGCTCCTCACTGTATCTTTGTATCTGACAGTGGGGAGACTTCCCTGCTGCCAGAAGTCACAGATCAATGCTGCAGGCTTTAGCCTACAACGCTGATCGAACAGGGAAAATCCAACAGGGCAGTTGTACAGAAGATGATTGACTTCTGTACAACCATAGTGCCCATACATTGGTCAAAATTAAGCTGATCTTTGCAAAACAAGCCAAATTTCGATCAGTCTATGCACAGATTTACCCCTTTGTTCACATATCTGCATTCCTGCGGGCCGCGTTTTGTGCGGGCACGAGAGCCCATTCTTTTGAATGGACTCCTGTGCCCCGACATACGCAGGGAAGAAGTCCCTGCACTTCTTCTGAAAACGCAGCCCGCACAGGAACCTCGGTTCCCAGTACGGGTGCAATTTCCAGTGCGGGCGGTGTGCCATTAGAATTAATGGCACCCTCCCGCGTGTCTGCATTCTTCTATGTGGGTAGTGCGGCTGCACGGACTTTTGTGCGGATCCGCAGCGGCACCATCCGCACACATGTGAACCAAGCCTTAGAGTGGATGGAGGTATCTGTTAATTTCTTTTGTTCAGCCTTTAAGTTTATGGTTGGGCTTTAGAATACAGGTCTGTAGGCTGAGTAGCTGGGTAAGCAGCAGATAAATTCAGGTTTCTGTACCCCAGTCTGCACTGACTGGAGACATCAGAATCCCTGGTTTCTCCATAAAGAATACCTGTCATTCTGTATGTGCTGATATCTCCACAAGCCATCATTGCATTTAAGGTACATGTACATATGTACAGGTGTGCTCAAACGTTTGCTTACCCTGACAGAAATTGTGGCATTGATATTTAAAATATGCCAAAAAAAGTTTTATTTAAGGATAGTGATCATATGAAGCCATGTATTATCATATAGTTGTTTGGCTTCTTTTTAAGTCATAATGATAACTGAAATCACCCAAATAGCCCTGACCAAAAGATTACATACCCTGCAATGTTTGGCCTTGGTACAGATGCGCAATGTGACACACACTGGTTAAAACTGGCAATCAAAGGTAATTTCCCATATCTGTGGCTTTTTAAATTGCATTTAGTGTTTGTGCATTAATAGTGAGTTTGTTAGCTCTCACATGTAAGCAGGCTAAATACTGAGCCATGGGGAGCAGAAAAGAACTATCAAAAGACCCGTGTAATAAGGTAATGGAGCTTTGTAAAGCTGGAAAAGGATATAAATAAATATCCAGTGTATCTCTATTTACAGTTTCGGGTATCATAATTTTTTGCATTTCTAGCGCACGTGATTTTGAACCTAGATATTTAATGCAAAATTTAGAGATCTTATTGTGATTCTTTGCACCTAAAAAATATATAATGTTTCTGCACATTAAGTTCTCAGTGATTTTCCACTGCCTTGGCTGTGTTTCCATGTGCTAGTGTATTTTCATTAAGTCCATATGGAGGAAGGCAGACTGCATTCCATATTAGCATAGCAATATGAAGTCATAAGACGGGCATATAGTCATGTATCATAATGGGGAAAATTGAAGCAATAAGAGAAGAGGTTTGCAGGTTCTAACCAATAACCTGGTATAGTGATGAATGCTATTGAACCCTGAGCTAATTCTTATCCAGTTAAGTGGATTTCATATTATGCAACACTAAACAAACTCCAAACCATTGAATTACCTATAGTTCATGTTATTCATATTTAAGTTGTTTTATTTTAAAACAATGTTCTTTTTATAAGAAACCTAACTTGATATTTTGTGATTATTTCAGAGCTCTTCCTGCAGCTGGAGGTAAGTGCATATTTTCTTTTTATTCTAGGACTATGATCACATGTATGTTTTTGTTTTTTGGCTCATGACAACCGAACATACAATCTCCATGCATGCTAAACCAAATTGCTTGCCAACATATTGCCCAGGCAGCCAGTGTAAGTGTTCTTTCCTCGCATCCAAAACTGATATTTTAGATTTTTGATTCTGGAGCATTAACCATCTGACAACAATTTTAGATAACTTCAGGGTTGCTGAGATTTTTTATCTTTGAGGTTCTGGATCTACACAAATGTTGTTCCACTCTTCCTGTTGGATTTCTTCTACATTATGGAAGGCTCAATAGGAAGTGCTGAAACACACAGCATTGGGCAGGGAACAGCAAAAACTCTCAAGTATGGGCGTTGTGGGAGGGAGATCCAGGTCAAGTTGAAAAGTTGTACCTCTCCAGAGCTATTAGGGTGCATGGTCCAGCTGCCAGAGATCAAGGCGTAATCTAATTCTATCAGAGCTTCAATAATATGTTGTTTTTTGTAGCATCTATACCATCCAGCATTAAGTGTGAGAATATATGTCTACATTATGATTTTATTTCAAATTTTTGTGACACTTTAAAGCAAATATAAATGTTTTTTTGGGGGAGAGATAAAAAAGCCCTACTGGTTTGAAAGTTGGAAGCTCCATGAAACAAAGTTCTGACAGAAATCTCTGATAGAAACTTGTGTGGCTTGCGTTCCTCAGTTTTAAGGGATACCTAGTTTGTTGGCAGTTTTAAGACCATACATGTAGCCAGGGGCTGCCGTAGACCAATTAGACTCTGCCTATAGCTAAAATATCACTTTTGAGAGGACTGACCCTTCATGGTTTACAGAGAAGCATTAAAGTCTTTTGTTTTATATTGCAGACAGAACAAGTGGAAAGGAACTACATCAAGGAGAAAAAGGCAGCTGTCAAAGAGTTTGAGGATAAGAAGATCGAATTGAAGGAAAATCTAATTGCAGAACTAGAGGAAAAGAAGAAAATGATTGAAAACGAAAAACTAACAATGGAATTGACCGGAGGTAGGGTCAGTGTAAATGTAAATCTCCTTTTAACATTGTTAAAGTAGTATTAAACTTTCACTTTGTATTTAATCTTTTCTTCCAATTCCACATAATTGGCAGCAGTTTCAAATTATTTTGGTCACAAACCTGGATTTTAGCTTGTTAGTAAAATCTCTGCAGGTGTGTCACTGTCCTAACAGCTTCCTTGAGCATTCGGAGTGCACACTTTGCAGGTTGCAGAATAATCACAGTGCCAGAAGGAAAACTGCTGTCAATTAGGGCTGCAACTAAATATTATTTTCATAATCGCTTAGTTGGCCTATTTTTATTGTTTTGATTAATCAAAAATGTGCAGTTGCACATATAAATAACCAGCTATATGGTTAGGGAACAAAATATCTAATCCACTTTGAGAATAACTGACAGAAGAGTGTGTGTGTGTATGTATATGTGTGTGTGTGTGTGTGTGTGTGTGTATATATATATGTGTGTGTATGTATGTATATATATATATATGTATATATATATATATATATAATATATATATATCTATATACACATACACACACACAGTTGTGCTCAAAAGTTTGCATACCCTGGAAGAAATTGTGAACTTTTGGCATTGATATTGAAAAAATGATTGATCATGCCAAAGAATGCTGTTTTATTGAAGGATGATGATCATATGAAGCCATTTATTATCAAATAGTTGTTTGGCTCCTTTTTTAAACCATAATCATAACAGAAATCACCCAAATGGCCATGATCAAAGGTTTACATACCCTGGAATGTTTGGCCTTGGTACAGACACACAAGGTGACACACACGGGGTAAAATGCCAATTAGAGGTTAATGTCCCACATCTGTGACTTTTTAATTGCAATTAGTGTCAAAAGATGTCCAAAGCCTTGTATATGCCAGTCATCACTTCCACTAAGAAGTAGAAAATTCAGGGACCTCTTGATACCAAGCCAAGTACAGATAGAACAAGATAGATTGCAGCCACAACTGCTGGAAGAATTGTTCAGGGTACAAAGGGAAACCCATAGGTAACCACAAGAAAAATACAGGCTGCTCTGGAAAAAGACAGTGTGGTTGTTTTGAAGGTGCACAATATGATGATACTTGAACAAAAATGAGCTGCATGGTCAAGGCACCAGAAAGAAGTCTTTACTGCATCAATGCCTGGTTAGGCATGTCAAGGTGTTGTCAGGCATATTGTAACAGGGCTTTTTTATGGCATTGGTGCTGTAAAAGCTTCTTTCTGGCACCTCTACCAAACAGCTCATTTTTGTTCAAGTATCTCCATATTGTACTCCTTAAAAACAACCACACCCATCTTTTTTCAGAGCAGCTTGTATTTCTTTTGAGGTTGTCTGTGGGTTTTTCTTTGAATCCCAGACAATTTTGTCAGTTATGGCTGCAATCTTTCTTGGTCTACCTGACCTGAACTTTCCGATTCTTAATAGGTGATTTAACAGTACTGTTTGGCATATTCAAGGCTTTGGACATCTCTGTATGGCCTTTTTCATCTTTATAAAGTTCTTTTACCTTGTTGCGCAGGACTTTTGACAGTTCTTTTCTGATCCCCATGGCTCAGTATCTACCCTAGTCAGTGCTTCCACGTAAGAGCTAACAAACTAATTGACTATTTATACACTGACACTAATTGCAATTTAAAAAGCCACAGACGTGGGACATTAACCTCTAATTGGCAGTTTAATCCGTGTGTGTGTCACCTTGTGTGTCTGTACCAAGGCCAAACATTCCAGGGTATGTAAACTTTTGATCATGGCCATTTGGGTGATTTCTGCTATCATTATGATTTAAAAAGGAACCAAACAACTACTTGATAATAAATGACTTCATATGATCATCATCCTTCAATAAAAGAGCATTTATTGGCATGATCAATCATATTTTCAATATCAATGCCAAAATGTCACAATTTCTGCCAGGGTATGCAAACTTTTGAGCACAACTGTGTATATGTGGGTGTGTATGTATGTATGTGTGCTTGTGTGTGTTGCGTATGTGTGTGTGTGTGTGTGTGTGTGTATGTATATGTATATATCGATTCCACCAGATCCCTCTGCACCCGATTTAATATGGGGAAGCATTGTCAGGACCCGCCGCAGGTAAATAAATTATCTGATTTCTTAACGAACATGTTCCACGAGCTTCAACAAAATGGCGGCCGGAGACAATATACAACAGTTTTCCAGACCTCCTAGAGCCCAAAACAGCGGATGACACAGACGCAGTACAAGGGCATATAGAAGATGCAGCTGCCAATATAGACTCCGCTTCCTCAGACTCTGATCCTTCCTCTCCCTCCTCAAGAAGCCCATTAAAATCCAGGCCTTGTAGAGAGTCTGGAGAGGCCGATGATACTATGTCAAATATGGAGGTGAGCGATCACACCCAGAGACCTCATAGCACAGTTTCCGACAACTGGCCAACTGATTTCTGATGTGACCATAAAGGAAATGCTATCATCCAAACAATCTGACATGATTCATGTATACAACAATACAGAGCTGAAATAGATGAGGTGGGGGACAGGGTACACCAAGTAGAATCTAGGATGAGTGAATACATATCTTCCTTCAATGGTTTGGTGGACTCACATACTTCACAGCAAGAAACCATTTCCAAACTACAAGCGAAAGTGGCAGATCTTTAAGACTGTTCACGATGGATCAATTTAGAAATCTGTGGGGTCCCTGAATCATCCAGGCACAATAACTCACCCGTGATTTATTCAAAGCAGTAGTTCCATCACTGTCTCCTATAGATCTTACTATTGATAGAATACACAGAGTACCCAAACCAACCTTTCTTCCAGCCGAGGTACCTCGAGATGTGGTGCTGTGAATACATTTTTTTTAAGTAAAAGAAAAATTACTAGAAGCATTTCATCATGCAGATAATCTCCCTGAACAAGCGGCCAAACCTCAAATTCTCCCAGATGTCTCTCAACACACCTTGAAACAGTGCAGAAATCTGGCAACTATCACTAAGGCATTAAGAAACCATAAAATTGTCTATAGGTGAAAATACCCGGTTAAAATCAACATTACATATCAAGGCTCGCATCACACAATTGAATCCTTAGAAGAAGGCCTACGGCTCCTGCAGACTTGGAACATTATACCTACTACACCAGAATGCGATTTCTTTTTACACAACCTCCTTAACAGAAAGGATCTCTTATGTTTGGCGATGCCAGCACACCACTGAAAAATCTTTTACATACTAATCTCCAATACGCAACTCATACTCCTGTATTGACCTCTTCTTGTTGGATAAAATGTTGCTGCAGAGGATTTTCATTTCCTCAATCCATGATATCACATGGTCAGACCATGCGCCTGTAACAATACAGATGGAGGAGGGAAATACTCTTGTGGCAACACGCCTATGGATATGCAATGATGCGGTGATACAGACACCAGAAATACAACACTTAAACAAGTATTTTCATTTTAATGACCCTCAATTGACAGGATCCTTTGCTAACTGGAACACTCACAAGGCCTATGTATGGGGCATAATTATAAAATTAAGCTCCAGACTAAACAAAAATACACACGGCTAGGTTAGAAACCCTTCTCTCTGACATCCGAACTACAGAATCACAAAACCAGTCTAACCCCTCCAATGAGTTGGCTATAAGGCTGTCTGGACTTGCCACAAGCTTAGGGAGCTTCTATGTGCACAACATGATTTATCCATACGTAAACTTAAGCTCAATTATTACGCCAGTAATAAGAAAGCAGGCACATTTCTGGCAAACAGAATTAAAACTGAAAGGATGAAGTTTTCCCATATCATTCATCCTTCCACGTCAGCTAAGCTCACAAACCTGAAAGCAATAGCTGATGCTTTTGTGGACTGTTACTATTCCCCATACAACCTGAAAGAAGATGTTGGCACTATACAACCTGCAAAAGAAGAGAGCGACAGACAAATTCTTAGCCACGCTTAACTTGCCCTCCCTTTCTTCATCTCACCTGGAAATACTCAATGGTAAAATTACCCCAAAACAAACTGATTGTATTATACTTTCCCTACCCAATGGAAAGGTCCAGATGGCCTTGCAAATAACTACTACAAAATATTCAAACAGGTCTTGACCTCTCATCTGCTTTTAGTATTCCAGGAAGTGATCTCCTCAGGCTCATTCCCCATAGAAATGCTTAAAGTTTATATTGTAACTCTTCCCAAGCCAGGTACATCCCCTGACACACCATACAATTTCCGGCCTGCCTCATTATTAAATACAGACTTCAAAATCTATGCTAAGCTAATAGCCAAAAGACTTTATTATATTATACCACATTTGGTAAAACCCCACCAATTGGGTTTCCCAAAAGGCCATCAAGCAGCCGACACAACTCACCGTCTCCTAAATATTATACACTATGCAGAATCATGTCGATTGCCTTCTCTGCTTCTCTCCATTGACGCAGAGAAGGTATTCGCAGAATCCATTGGGGTTACATGTCCACTGTTGGATTTCAAGGTCTGATCCAAGCAGCTATACTAGCCCTTTTACTCACATCCTTCGGCCCAGGTTTTCACCTTGGCTTTCCTATCTAAAACTTTTAAAATTTCCAACTCCACCAGACAGGGATGCCCACTATCCCCATGTACCTTTTAACTTGATGATGGAACCGTTCACTGAAGCCATTCGGACACACTCACATCTCTGGTTTTAAATTTCAACAAACCTCTCATGTTAACTTATTTGTGGATGACGTCATACTCCTACTGACCAGACCAACTATCTACTTATCCTTCGCACATGATGTTCTTACCCATTTCAGTACTTTGTCATATTATAAGGTCAACTTTGCTAAATCGTTAATCCTAGATCTAGGCATAAATGCTCATGCCCAATCGCACCTAATATCTTATCTTCCATATACATGGGAAAGCATTCCATACCATATCTGGGCATTACCTTGACAGCTAAAACGTCACTACTAGCTGAAACTAACTTTTAAATCTCTCATCTCAGAGATTTGTAATGATATGACCCGTATAACCCATACAGAACTATCTTGGGCAGGTAAAATAGCATCCTTTAAAATGATGATCCTTCTGAAAATTTTATATATATTCCGAACCCTCCCGATTTATATTAAAAGCATCCCACATATCAGAACTCGCTAAGATTCTCAAACAATTCATCTGGCAAGGGAAAAGACCAAAATGCTTCCACAAACATCTCATTCAGCATAGAAAAGTTGGAGGAATGGGTCTTCCCCGGACATAAAAGATTACTACTTAGCCGCCATACTTGCAGAAATTAAACATTGGTTCTTGGTCCCTGCTGAAGCTTGGTAGGTGTCTAAATTGAAGCTACATGTGCACGAGTACCCAACCTAAACCTGCTGTTACTAGCAGATGCATAGAAACAGCCTACCCTGACTCATTTGCTACCAACTACTCAGGCTTCAATCTTGGCATGGAGAAACTATACTTTTTCATTCATCAATCGAACCCCCAAATATCAAAATCTGGCTCACTATAAAAATATTAGAAATATTACTGCCTTACTTCTCTACTAAACAATGGATGGAGAAAGGTATAAAATGGTTTGACGAAATAATGCAGCAGTATACACTCAAATCTTTTGACTCATTAACAAGTCAGTATCAGCTATCTAAGCCATGTATAATATATATACATACATTAACTCCCAGATTTGGACATATTTAACCGGCAAGTCTAAAAATGATAAAGGCATCTCCCTACTATATAATACACTCCAATATAAATAGCAACAAACATGGGAGACGATCTCCATAAAGTATTTACACTTAACCAATGGGCCATGCCATGACACATAAGTACAACTATATAGCATCCCACTGTATTAATCACTGGGAACTCACTCAGAAGATAATAACTAGTGGTATAGAACACTGTCTCAATTAGCAAAATATTAGCCCACTTCACCCTCCTTATGCTGGAGACAATGCAGACACGATGGCGCAATCTATCATATCTTCTGGAACTGTAAGAATCTGACCAGTTATTGGAAGAAAATATTTAGTATCATCGCCGACATTACTGGGGTATTCTCACCCCCAGATCCAGCAGTAGCAATTCTACATCTGAATATAGATAAATACCCAACCATTTACCATATTGTAGTTACTTACATACGAATAGCAACTAAATTAATAATTGCTAGACACTGGAGAGATGAACGAACTCCTAACCCCTCAAAAGTTCTTGTACAAGTCAACCTTAATTATCAATATGAAAGACTACTAGTCATTAGAACAGCCTCTTGGTCATCCTTTGATAAAAATTAGAAATGTTGTACTGAGTGGTATAAGCAATAATTCTATAGAAGTAGTACACTGTTTTCTCTCTACTCCTGATTTCTTTGTACCTATGGGTGAACTCTATGAATCAGGCCCTTAGTGGCGCACTTCATTTTTCAGTTAGCATTAATATTTGTATTTGCACTTATATTTCTGCAATTTTATCTATATTCATGTTTTATATGTACAACCTACACGGCATGTATAGTTCTTTTTCCTCATTACACTTACTAATCATTGTGTACTGGAAAACTGATAAAAATAAAAAAAAGGAACACACTTTGAAAACGCATCAGATCTCATGGGAGAAAAATAACATGCTGGATATCTATATTGATATGGACTGGGTAATGTGTTAGGAACGTAAGGATGCCCCACCCTTTGATGGAAATGAAAATTATCAACCTACAGAGGTCTAAATTCAAAAACACCCCGAAAATCAAAGTGAAAAAATGATGCATCGGGCTAATCCTTTTTGCTGAGGTTTTTTGCAGCAACTCAAAATGGTACTCAGTAGTTTGTATGCCCCTACGTGCTTGTAGGCATGCCTGACAACTTCAGTGCATGCTCCTAATGAGATGACAGTGGTGTCCTGGAGTTTTTCCTCCAAGATTTGGACCAGGGCATCACTGAGTTTCTGGGCAGTCTGTGGTGCAAACCTGGCGGCGTTGGGGGTGGACTGCAACATGATATCCCAGAGGTGTTCTATTGGATTTAGGTCAGGCAAGCATGGGGGCCATTTAATAGTATCAATTCCTTCATCCTCCAGGAACTGCCTGCATACTCTCGCCACATGAGGCCGGGCATTGTCGTGCACCAGGAGGAACCTAGGACCCCCTGCACCAGCGTAGGGGGTCCAAGGATTTCATCACGATACCTGATGGCAGTCAGGGTGCCATTGTCTAGGCTGTAAAGGTCTGTGCGTCGCTTCATGGATATACTTCCCCAGACCATCGTTGACCCAGCACCAAAAGGGTCACGCTGAACGATGTTATAGGCAGCATAACGTTATCCACAGCTTCTCCAGACCCTTTCAAGTCTATCATGTGCTCAGGGTGACCCTGCTCTCATCTGTGAAAAGCACAGGGCGCCAGTGGCGGACCTGCCAATTCTGGTGTTCAATGGCAAATGCCAATCGAACTCTATGGTGCCAGGCAGTGAGCACAGGGCCCACTAGAGGACATCAGGCCACCCTCATGAAGTCTGTTTCTGATTGTTTGGTCAGAGACATTCACACACCAGTGGTCTGCTGTAGGGCATTTTGTTAGGGCTCTGGCAGTGCTCATCCTGTTCCCACTTGCACAAAGATAAGTCATAAATTCTTCTAAATCTAAGTGATCTTATAAAAGTGCTTTGCTTTTTACAGATTCCATGGAGGTCAAGCCTATTATGACTCGAAAACTGCGACGACGGCCCAATGATCCAGTGCCAATCCCTGATAAACGAAGGAAGCCAGCACCTGATATCCTTTACTTACTACATTAAAACAAATTACTTTTTTATATCAGGTACTTTGGGGAAAACACTTTGTACGATATTACAAAAATATTTGATTTATCTATTACCGTATTTTTCACACCATAAGACGCACTTTTTTCCCCCCAAAAAAGGGGGGAAAATGTCAGTGCGTCTTATGGAGCGAATATGGAGCGGCCGGTCCGGTATTTCCACTGCCGCCGTGTCAGAATACCGGGCCGGCCGCTCAGCTCTACAGCGGGACCTTATAGAGATGACTGCTGACCTTTGGGGAGGGGGGGGCGGGTACCTGAATTTGACAGATACCCGCTCCCACTTCCGTGGAGTTGTTCTTTCATCTTACCCGTTCCTCTATCCAGCGGCGCGGTCTTCCCGGCTTCTGTAGTGTGGGCATGACAGCCGAGTGCCATGTGCGCATGCGCAGGAAGCGGTGCTTTTTTGTGAATGGTAAGGCGGTACCTGGGACACATGACAGATCCCAGAAGCCGCCGGACCAATTACAAAGCGCAAGTGTTTCTCGCTCATGCGCACTGGGCACCCGGCTGTCATGCCGAGCGCCATTACAAAAGCCGGGAAGACAGCGCGCGGGCTGGATAGAGGAACAGGTAAGATGAAAGAACAACTCCCGCGGAAGTGGGAGCGGGTATCTGTCAAATTCAGGTACCCGCTCCCCCCCCCTCCCCAAAGGTCAGCAGTCATCCCCTGTGCTGTCCGCAGGCTCTGGTCATCCCTGTGCTGTCCGCAGTCTCTGGTCATCCCTGTGCTGTCCGCAGTCTCTGGTCATCCCTGTGCTGTCCGCAGTCTCTGGTCATCCCTGTGCTGTCCGCAGTCTCTGGTCATCCCTGTGCTGTCCGCAGTCTCTGGTCATGTGTCCGCAGTCTCTGGTCATCCCTGTACTGTGTCCGCAGTCTCTGGTCATCCCTGTACTGTGTCCGCAGTCTCTGGTCATCCCTGTACTGTGTCCGCAGTCCGCAGTCTCTGGTCATCCCTGTACTGTGTCCGCAGTCTCTGGTCATCCCTTGCACTGTGTCCGCAGTCTCTGTCATCCCTTGCACTGTGTCCGCAGTCTCTGGTCATCTCCTGCACTGTGTCCGCAGTCTCTGGTCATCTCCTGTACTGTGTCCGCAGTCTCTGGTCATCTCCTGCACTGTGTCCGCAGTCTCTGGTCATCTCCTGTACTGTGTCCGCAGTCTCTGGTCATCTCCTGTACTGTGTCCGCAGTCTCTGGTCATCTCCTGTACTGTGTCCGCAGTCTCTGGTCATCTCCTGTACTGTGTCCGCAGTCTCTGGTCATCTCCTGTACTGTGTCCGCAGTCTCTGGTCATCTCCTGTACTGTGTCCGCAGTCTCTGGTCATCTCCTGTACTGTGTCCGCAGTCTCTGGTCATCTCCTGTACTGTGTCCGCAGTCTCTGGTCATCTCCTGTACTGTGTCCGCAGTCTCTGGTCATCTCCTGTACTGTGTCCGCAGTCTCTGGTCATCTCCTGTACTGTGTCCGCAGTCTCTGGTCATCTCCTGTACTGTGTCCGCAGTCTCTGGTCATCTCCTGTACTGTGGCCGCAGTCTCTGGTCATCTCCTGTACTGTGGCCGCAGTCTCTGGTCATCCCCTGTACTGTATCCGCAGTCTCTGGTCATCTCCTGTACTGTGTCTGCAGTCCATTAGTTCATAATTTTTTTTTCCTGTTTTCTGCCTCTAAAACCTAGGTGCGTCTAGGTGCGTCTTATGGAGCGAAAAATACGGTAACTATTGTTGCTGTAATACATTTAGGGCAAGTTCACACCACAAAAACGCACTCTGGATGTATTCTGGATACATTTTTGCTTGCAGTTTACACCATACTCTGCTTCAGAATATAATATATATATTATGTGATTTTGCATTTCCAGGTAGGGGGTGTGAGCCCTACCTGCGCCACCATTGGTGGCTTCACCTGCCGATCACTTGGTTTCAGCTGGTGGTTCCCCGCTGGCACCCGGCGATTGCCATGTATCAATGATGGGGGAGAGACCTGTACGTAAACAATACAGATCTCTCCCCTGCCAGCTCCTGCACACTGCTTTGTATGGCTTTGCATAGCAGAACCATACAAAGCAGTGTGCTTACAGTGTAACTCACACACACAGCACACAGTGAAACAGCACACCGTTAATCCTTTGATCACCCCAGATGTTAACCCTTCCTGCCCAGTGTGTCATTAGTACAGTGTCAGTGCATTTTATTAGCACTGATCACTGTATTGGTGTCACTGGGGATGTCAGTGACAGTCAGTTCCCCCCAAATGTCAGAATGAATGCCGCAGTCCCGCTACAAGTCACTGATTGCTGCCATTACTTGTGTAAAAAAGAAAAAAAAATTCCAGTATCTATACCGCCATTTGTAGATGCTATAACTTTCATGTAAACCAATTAATTTACGAGTATTGGTATTTTTTTTTAGCAAAGACATGTAGCAGAATATATTTTGGCCTAAATTTATGATGAGATTTGTTTAATAGCAAAAAGGCAAAAATATATTTATTTTTTTTTTTAATAGCGTACAAAATAAAAACGCAGAGGTGATCAAATGCCACTAAAAGAAAGCTCTATTTGTGGAGGAAAAATAGGACATAAATGTCATTTGGGTGCAGCATTGCATGACCACGCAATTGTCAGTTAAAATAACGCAGCACTGTAATGTAAAAAATGGCCTGGTCAGGAAAAGGGGGGGGGGGGGGTAAATCCTATGGAAAGAGAAATTAAAAAAATTTTTCCATTTGGTAGTTGCGGCATTTTTTTTACATTTCAGTTGGCCAGCTTTTTATGGGTATTCAAAACAATCTCACTGTTAAAGCAATACCACGTGTTTTATGGAGTTATGGTGAATATGCAAGCAAATAAGCGGTAGGCAGCTGTTTTAAAATTTTAAATCAATCAGGCTAAATGGCATATATGTAATTCCACAAAGATCACGTCATCCTTAGCAAGCAATCCCCACAGTAGCTTGGATAGGCTCTGAAACTGAAGGGTAAAAAAAACGAGCCACATAGCGTAATCCCATTTAAATCATTTATTGGATTCATCCAAACCCCTATTAAAATCACACTCACAAAGTTACAAATAAATTGAGCCTGTAAACTCTTAAATTGCATCAAAAGTCAGTCTATGTTTGTTTGGTGGATGTGACCAACATCTCACCGCACTTCCACGATCTGCATTACTTCGGGTGGCAAGTCATAGTCACTTCTGACCAACATACTGACGTCATGTATGGTCACGCACTGAAATGTTTCGCCATCATAACTTCCACTGAGGGTGTGACTATACGACATGAGAAAGCGGTATTTATATGTAATGCTTACAAGGGTTTAACCTTGTAATAACCATGCCTCTCTGTTCTGTACTCAGTCCCATAGACAAAAAGTACGGATACCTCCTAGAGGTTACTACAAAGAGCAATACTTATTCTCCTCATTATTCAAAATATTATGATTTCTAGAGGCCAATAAAGAGATCATTAAGTAAAATGCAAACCCTCAAACATTACATTTTAAACCCTAGCTATACATGGGTTATCAACATCCATCTACAGTTGATCCAACTGCCAACTTCTAAATTGATCATTTTTTAGAACATTTAATCATATTTTTCTAATAAAACAGAGCGTTAGGTGTAAACACCAAATAAAATTCATACAAAAATAAATACAGCATAAAAAGAAGTCATCATATATATCCATTTAGTTTCCTTTTTTGACAAGTATCTCACTCTATTTGAACCCCTCCATGTGGGGGGGACTCTATCAACCCCCAAAATGTTAGACCTGTAAGGTCTCTTCTGTTGTGTTTTTTTCTAAAGTGTAAAGACAATATGTTTGTAGCCTTTTGAGATGTTATAAAATGTGTTCCGCTATTTTCTTTTTAAGTTGTCGCTTCGCTCGGCATCATCCCTTATGGACATTCTAGAGCGTACACAACATGGGTAGTACTGAACGTGATAAATTCAGAGATCTTAAATTCTCTATTATTTGCCTTTGGATTTGAAAGAAGTTAACCCTCTCACTCTATTGCTGACCTATTTGCAAGCGTTATATTTCTGGTATGAATAGAACACAGTTTTATCCTAGGATATACTTTTTCTTAAGTGGATCCAATTCCTTTTTCGATCACTTTATCTCCAAAATTTGGAGCTCTTCTATAAATCATATGTTGTGGAGACTTTTGGAATATACAAAATCAAAAAAACCGGTGTCCAAATAAACTAAATAAAATATTAAAAAAAACAATAACCCTAAAGATTGACACTCAAAAAGTCACACACTTTTACCCTTGAAAGTCCAAAATGAATAATAAACCCTCTTCGTGTCAGTGAATCTTCTCAATTCTTTTTTTTTCTTCAATATAATAATCCAGAATGTATTGTTGATTTCCACCGTGTACCTCCAAAAAATATATTAAAACCTGGGTAGTGTATTATCTTCAATATTCAAATGATCATAACATATATAAATACAAATTAATTGCAATATGTGAAAAAACAAACACGTGACAAAGTGAAAACACCTCTTGAGCACTTCTATGTTGCTAGAGTAAATACTCTTACCATAAATTATATAACTAAAAGCCTTTAGGATAATTTTCCCAATATGCAATCTCCAAAATTCCTCCAAGATCATTCCATAATCGTTATGCAAGATACCAGACTATCCCATCTCCTCAAGCATGATTTAAGGAAACGCTTCTCAAGGCCGTCCATAGAATACCACTCAGAAGGAAAGAAAGGACTATATAGTGTAGTATTCAGATTAAGTAAGTCGAGGCTTTAGTAAAATATGCTTACATCAATGTAGAAATAAAACTGCAGGTATTCCCATACGACAGGATCTCCAAGCAGCTTCCAGGAACGCATGTATTGATATCACCTTAGTAAAGATTTCAGGTCAATCTGTAACGTCCCTTGACGTGTTTCATCACTTCCTGACTTCCTCATAAGGGTCTCTCTCCCCCTCTCTCTCTCCCCCTCTCTCCCTCACTTCCAACTACCCCCCTCTCTCTCTCCCTCCCCCTCTCTCTCTCCCCCTCCCCTCCCTCTCGCTCTCCCCCCCTCTCCCCCACCCTCTCGCTCTCCCCCCCTCTCCTCATCCACCCCCCCTCTCGCTCTTCCTCTCTCCCCACCCCCCCTCTCTCTCCCCTCCCTCTCTCCCCCCCCCCTCTCCCTCTCTCTCGCCCCCCCCCCCCTCCCCCCCTCTCTCTGTCTCCCTCTCACTCACCCTCCTCTCCCTCCCTCACTCACCCCCCCCTCTCTCTCCCTCCCCTCTCTCCCTCTCTCCCCCCCCTCTCCCTCCCTCTCCCCCTCTCTCTCCCCCCCTCTCCCTCTCTCCCCCCCTCTCTCTCGGAACGCACCACTATAAACTCACACAGGACCCTTTTCATAATGGCACTCTAAACATAATGCGTGTGGATCGCATCTCTGTGAACCACCTCAATAGGAACACATAATATCTAGCCTGTCATGTGAGTTTGACAATGCATCCAGAATCACATATGTGTAAACCAGGAGAGCTCTACTCACACCTGGGCATTTTTGGATTGCGGTAGAATCGCCTCGATCACAAAACAAAGGTTTAGGTGCCCTTGTTTTTAATGGCACCTAAAACATGGTGCAGTTTTGCTGTGATTGAAGCTTGTAGACCAAAAGTTGCTTTGTCCCGGGCACGGACAACCCACGCTACCTTTAAAAGAGGAAAAAAAAACTGGCTCCCGACTTTGTCTGGCTCCTAGATTCAAAGCAAATGTGTTGAGCCCTAAGGTATAATGCTTCAAAAATTGGCAGCACTATATAGATACCTGTAAAAAATAAATAAGAAGTAAATAAAATATATGCACTGTAGAACAGGACACTAAATTTGTTTTGTAGTAATTTGTGCAAGCTTGTTTTCTTTACTTTTTCCTTAACCTCTGTACCTCAGCTTAATTACCTACTTACAGATGAACAGATCATGGAAGATTTAAGAACCCTAAATAAGGTAAGGGCTAATTTAGCTGCATGTTTCTAGATGTCGTTCTCGGAATAAACAGTTCTTTTAACTGCAGATACATTTTAGTCGTGAGGACTGTTTACTACAACTTCTGTTGTAAAATGTATTGGAAATTATAATACAAGTATTTACACAAACACTACTCTTCATTTTAAAGTCCATCTCTGAGCAATCTTAATCCTCCACCTCTCACACACATTCAACAGTTATTTTAAGACTCCTTTTTTACTCACCTGGTCTGTCATGTCCTTCACCAGTGCCACTTCTGGGAGTGGAGACTGGTGATCTAGCACTGCCATTTGTGCCTGTGCCGACCAATCTTCTTGCTGTATCACAACAGTTGTGAAATCGGAGAGGACTCCACTGGTGGAAATCCAGTGGAAATTTGTTCACATCACCCAGGCAGTGACGTGGACATTGGAAGTTAGACTGTCCCATTCTTCTTCTAGGAAGAGGGAAGAAAGTGGCAGGTCATAAAACCACAGATTCAGGTAAGTAAAAAGTTTTCAGTTTAGATGTATTTTTTTCAAACTAATCTGGCTAATAGTTATGGGGGGGGGGGGGGGTTAAAGGATTAAGTAGGAAATTATGTCCATAGAACTGCTTCTTAATTAAGGTTTTCTAAAGTTTTTACTGTTTTGTTTTAGTTGGCTATTAGGTGTATTTTCAGGCCTCATCAGATGCCAGTTTTGGGTGTTTGGCATTTCAGAAGGCTGTTTGAGCTACAGGCAGTCTGCAATTTTCAGTTTTTTTCATAGGTGTGTTAGGGCTCATTCACACAAGGCGCTTTACTGCACTCACCCACGTCATATTAGGACAGGGCTTAACAAAATTTTTTTTTTTTTATGTTAACAAATTTGCTTTGAATCTAGATGCCAGCTAAAACAGTTAAAAGCCAGTTCTTTTTTTGACTAACGGCTTTATTTTCGTTGACGGAGATAGCAGATCTTGAATTTTCGCATGGAGGGGACTGGAGCCGAGGGTTTTGGGGGCTGAGGTCTTTGGGGTGTGTGTGTGTGGGGGGGGGGGGGGGGTGGAGCGGACTCTGCTCACCTTCAGCCTCATGAGTGGGGACTGGCGGCGAGGAGAGGTGGGCCACAGTATGCACTGGTGTCGATGGAGAGGGGAGTATGGGGGAGCCTTTCTGCATGGCAATGGTGGGTCTGCTGGGGGAGGGTGCATGGGGTGCCGGTGTGTTGAGAGGAAGAGAGAAACTCTGGCTCTGTTGTGGGTAAAGCTGCATGTCTGGGGCTTCGGGCAATGGGAGTTGCTCGCGCGCTGGTGCTGGTTGTGAGTGGGCTGTTGTAAGGCCAGGTGCTGGGACATGGTTTCTGGTCACCATGGCAACCGAGGATTTGTCAAGCCCTGACCCCCACTATATATCCTGGCTCCTCCCCTCCTCTGTAAAAACACTGGATCTCTCGCTCCTCCACCACATCAAGCTCCTGCAGGGAGTACTGCCAGTCCACTCACTCTATTAGGTGGAGGTCACACGGGGTGGCACACAGGCCGCCGGGTCCCCACTGCTCGCTCCGTCAGGTGGAGGTCACACGGGGCGGCACGCAGGCTGCCGGGTCCCCACCAGTCGCTCTGTCAGGTGGAGGCCACACGGAGCGGCACACAGGCCGCCGGGTCCCCACTGCACCCCCCTTTGCCTCCCGCAGCAACGTGTGTGTGTACCATGTGAGCTCCAGAGGGAGCAAGGCCAGCTTGGAGACAATGTGCCTTGGGTACGGCAGGCAGTAAGAAAGCCAACAAAGCTGGCTCATTCTCGGGCCATGCTTGGACATTGGAGGAAGTGATAGTGGCCAACTGAGGAAAGAAGCCCGGCCGTGAGTGGGCTGACCGGTGCCCAGGCACCAGGTCCCGATTTCTGGTCGCTTTGCAAACCTAGCGCCTGGGATTTGTCAAGCCATGTAGTTGGACACGGCGGCTATGTCCATACAGCCGCTTGTTCCAGTAGAAATAAATGGAATTCTGGCATGGGGATGTATGCAGTGCCTGTGCATCCCTGTGTTTGGGAAAACACCAACCTACACAGTGCCCACAGTAAAGTTCCCCATGTGAACGAGCCTTTAGCCTTTGTTCTATGGTTCTCATCCCTCAGTTGGACTGGTTTTTGGAAGTCCTGAAGGCTTAAAGTGGTTGTAAAGCCTTTGAGTTTCTTTACCTTAATGCATTCTATGTATTAAGGTAAAAAACCTTCTGTGCTGCATGTGTTCTCCCTCACCCTCCTTATACTTTCCTGGGCTTCATCTTGATCCAGCTGTATGCATGAGAACAGCAGCTCTCAAGGCTCTGTCCCCCCTAATTGCACAGATTAAAAGCAGCAAGAGCCATTGGCTCCGTCTGTTGTCCATCAAATTCTGACAAGGGAGTGAGGGGCGGGGCTGAGCCACCTTGTTTGTGTCAATGGATGCGGATGAGGCTGCTCAGGAGCGAGCCCACACAAGTTCCCCCATAGGAAGCTGCTTCCCATGGGGACACCCACCGAAGAAAAGGAGCCAGGAGCGCCAGTAAGGGACCCCAGAAGAAAAGGATTGAGGCTGCCCTGTGCAAAACCTTTGCACAGAGCAGGCAAGTAGTTGATGTGTTTATTATTTTAAAGGAAAAAAAGCGACCCTTTAATGTTAATTTAAGACTTTCTGTGTCCCTCAATGACAAGGAAAAATAGAATTGTTTTGTACTCACTGAAAAATAATTTTCCTGGAGTCTATTGAGGGGCACAGGTCCCACCCCTCTCTTTTTATGGTCATGCTCTTGGTATTACTCTGCTTCAAAACTGGAGCATGCTGGTTATGGATGGGGTTATCCTGTGCTGGCTAACGGTTTTTCTGCTGCACAGTATCAATTTCCCCTGTAGGCTGTAGTATAACACCATACTTCATGTGTACATCAATGGTATGCAAAGAAAAGGATTGTATTTTGAACAAAAAATCTTAATTGGTGAGGTTAAGAGTCATAAATTGTTGCAGAGCCCTTGAGCATGTAATAAGACTGAGCCCATGCGCCTTTAACTCTGGCATTTGAAAATTATGATCTTATCTACAAAGGTGTGTGGACTTTTTGTTTAATACCTTTAATCATTTTGATAAAATTGGCGGAAAAAAAAAATCATTTTTGGGAAGGTTTTAAATTTTCACGAACGTATTGAATATTTTCAATTTTGTTTAAATATTTTCTGCATATTGGAAAACTTTTAGACCAGTCAGCTTTTTCTTTTTTTCTGTTTTTTTCTTCTTTTTTTTTCCCTCCATAGAAAAGCAAACAAACATTCCACTGTGAATGCATCTCACATTGAAGGTCATCTTCTGTCTGCAGCCTATCTGAGAGTGTCATTAGGCATTGAATAGCTCAATAGGATCTGATGTGAGGAACATGCCACTCAATAATGTTTTGGCATGTGTGCATTAGTAGAAGACTTAGATTGGTTCACACATACTAAAGGAATCTCAGTCAGTATTATCTCTTTTGTGTGGTTGCCTTTTATTTTCCCAGGTTTACCTTTCATCAGGTGGTTATTCTAAAACCAGAATATGGTATTGGTTTAATAGGGTGGCACCTTCATTAAGACTCGATGATAAAAAAAAAATGTGCAAAAAAAAAAGTTCAGCGCTAAGGTCTAAAAGATATAGTAAAACAGGAATATTTAGCTTGTCAGCAGAACCCAACCAAAACCGAAGTGTTGTTTTTGGGTACCATAGTTCTGGGTTCATGCAGTACAGACTGGTTTTGTGGTATTTTACCTAGAATAACATTTTACAGCGTATGTATTTTTATGTATTCTCTTGATTGGCTTAATTTGTTTTTTTTTTGTGTGTTCTTTCTAACAGTTAAAATCCCCTAAAAGACCAGGTAAGTAACTACGACAAGCAAACATTAAAGCACTATAAACATGCTAAAGCCTAACCCTGTTGGTAAAAAGTGGTTTCAGTCATTTCAAAATCAATAGATAAATGATCATGGTTTATTTACTTCAAAAGCGTGTTTTTTTAGGGAGCAGGCATTTTGTTTTATTTTTTTCAAAAGCAACAGTCACTTTAAAAGACAAGTTTGGGAAGTAAAAAACACAAACCTATGTACTCACCTGGGTGCATCTGTCCCCCCCGCCACTGTCACAGGAGAAGGGGTGAGGGGGGGGACTGGTGCATAGCAGCATATTACTTGTTACAGATGTAGTGTTGCTAAAGGTGAACCTATCCCTTAAAGCTCAACTCCAACTCTTAGTATTTCCTCTCCTTCTTTGAGTCTAAGTGCTGTTGTACAGGGCAATATAAGAGGTTAAAATAAAGTTAGACTTGTTTGTCTTTACTTGTATTTAAAATCTAGCTTTATGCAGGTACCTGTGTACTCTTTATTTGATGTGTTGTATTAACACTCGTGCTCTACAAATATGTTAAATAATATGAATATCCTTCCTTCAAAGCATAGGTGTTCTTTAAAACAACGTGCAATGTTATCTTTTTTTTTTTGCCTCTGTGCACTGACATAACTGATCACACACTCCCCTCCCAAAGGCTTCTACCTCTGCGGATTGTTTACATCCAGCACTGCAAATTCTTTGTGGGCCTTACTGTGTCCTTTTTTGCCCCTGTGCCTTGAGCAGAGGTCGGAGACAAAGGTTAAGTGCACTTTGTTTTAAAATTTATGCATCCTTTAACCTATTCTTTTACATGCTGAACATTGTATAGAGGACCCAGTTTGAGAATTGTAATTTCATTCAGTTATCTATTTAGTGCTGTGAGCTGCAGCTGTCTTCAGAGAGCACTAAAGTGGAACATCGCTCTCTCAATCAATACGGACTTTTTAAAAAAAATCCTTATGCTGCTAGCCATCGTAAACAGTAAAGTACAGCATTTACTTGTTTTAAACTTTTTACATTTCTTCAGTTACTTCCTGGTTTCCATGTCTAGACAAATTATGTCATACATCCCAGCAGTCTTCAGGAGGGGAGGGAGGGTTCTCAGCTCAGCCTATGCCTGAGCTAAGGGCAGATGGATTCCAGGAAGTAAATGATGCACTAATCACCTGCCCTTACTCAAGATGGCCACTGCCAGAAATGCTGGGGGGGGTGTTCTTCAAAATGATTTCTCAGCAAAACAAAGCATGGAGACATAGATGGATGGGAGAGTTTGCTTTGAATATTAAAAATGAATTAAATAGCATTTTTGGTTTGTGAGTCTCACATGCAGTGTAGTTCCACTTTAAGCTTTGGCAATAAAACCTGGAATAATAAACCAAAAACAGATTGCACTATGTGTTACAAATATAAATAAAGTGAAGGTGAATCAATCTCAGTATTAGCTGCACTCACTATGCTATATATATAGTTAAGTCCATATATATTTGGACACAGGCACAATTTCAGTTTTTTTCAGGTATTTAACAACACATATTCAAGCTATAGTTATATAATGGACATGGGCTGAAAGTGCGCACTCTTGAGGGTATGGACATCTAAATTGGAGAGAGGGTTTAGGAATTACAACTCTTAAGAGTAGTCCTCTCCCCTATAATCATAAATAAAATGTTAATTTGTAATATTTTGTGGAGAATTCTTTACTGGCAATGACTGCCTGAAGTCTGGACCCCATGGACATTACCAAAGACCGGGTTTCCTCCTGTCTGATGCTTTGCCAGGCTCTAACTGCAGCTGTCTTCAGTTGTTCTTTGTGGGTCTCTCTGCCTTTAATTTTGCCTTCAGCAAGTGAAATGCATGCTCAATTCTGTTGAGATCAGGTGATTGACTCGGCCATTGCAGAATATTCCACTTCTTTTCCTTCAGAAGCTCTTGGGTTGCTTTTGCAGTGTGTTTTGAACCATTGTCCATCTGTACTGTGAAGTGCCATCCAGTCAGTTTTTGCTATATATGGACCTAACCTAATTTTGTGTGTGTGTATGTGTGTGTGTATATATATATATATATATATATATATATATATGTGTGTGTGTATGGAGGAGGCGAGAGATAACAAGGGAGTGAATTAGATGCTTTGTATATCTGTTAGTAAATCGGTGATACGTGAGGAAACTGGTGGGGTGAGCTGAGGTGTAGAGAGATTTGCGTGTCGTTGGCATAGAAATGGTATTGGAAACCATGGGAAGCTATCAGCTTACCCAGGGAAGACGTGTAGATTGAGAATAGAAGATGTCCAAGGACAGAACCTTGGGGGACTCCAATGGTAAGAGGAGTAGGAGAGGAGGAAGAAGAGTTGTAAGTGGCACTGAAAGTGCGGTGAGATAGGTCAGATTTGAACCAACGGAGAGCACAATCACAGAGGCCAAGTAAATAGTTTTTTTTATTGAGGAGGGGGGTGGTCAACTGTGTCAAAGGTAGTAGAGAGGTCCAAGAGTAAGAGTATGGAATGGTGACTGTTGGTTTTAGCTTAGTAAGTCATTTGTGAGTCTTAGGAGAGCAGTTTCTGTGGAGTGTTGTGGGTGAAATCCAGACTGCAGGGGATCGAGAAGATTATTCTCAATGAGGTGGCAGCTCAGCCAGTTGTAGACTAGACGTTCAAGGAGTTTGAAGGCAAAAGAGAGTAAGGAGATGGGTCTTAATTTGCTAAGATTTGTGGGGTCCAGTGAGGCCCTTTTTAAGTTTGGGGTGTCTAGCGCATGTTTTAGAGGGTTGGGGAAGATGCCAGGAGAAAGAGAGATATTGAAGATATGAGTGAAGGATAGAGCCAGAGGGTGACCGTAATATTTGCAAGGGAACAGGGGACAGTTGGTTAGGTGGGCTTTCGTAAAAAGTTTACCAACTTCCTCTATAGTAGCTGGGGTAAACAAGGGAAGTATTGATTGTGCAGGTGGACAAGGACTGTAGGGTGAGGGAAATATCTGTTCAGTGGAGATCTCATCACAAATTGTATCAGTCTTATTTTTGAAGGGATTAGCGATCTTTTTAAAAGTGAGTTTCTGCTTCAGCGAGTATGAAAATATATATATATATAAAAACAAAAAAAAAACTTGCAATCCCTGCAGTACACTGTGATACACAAAACCATACTTTGTCATCTGTTTGTCACCTTTGTCAACAAAGATTTGTGTGTCAGCTTATCTTGTTTCACCTTAGTGACCAGTCTGTTTTAAGAGACTTTTACTTTACTTCTTCATATATTTTATTTGCAGTATCTCCATCAACTCCAGAACATCTTCCCGCTACCCAAACTGAATCTCCTGCCCAGAGGTTCGAAGCTCGGATAGAAGATGGGAAGCTGTACTATGATAAGAGATGGTAAATATTATTCTTCTTTATTGTACTCGGAATCCTTTTTAATATTGCTTGGAAAACATCCAATTCTTATTTAAAAGCTAACTGCACCTTGCAGTCTATTGATATTTCCCCCAGCTCCGTAGCTGAGGGTCCATACTTCAGTATGGACCTGAGCTGGAAGAGGATTCTGCAGGAACTACAACTCAAAAATAATAAATGCACATTTTTGTGTTTTATGCAATATAAGTTCATTTATTATTGTTTTTTTAAGAGTTGATTTCTGCCTTAACCACTTCGATTCTCCACAAACGCTCCAGAAGATTTAACCCTTGACAAGACTGCTCTAACTGGCTGCTGATGAGAAAAGCTATTTAGCAGTTTATATTTACTAAAATAAATGCAATTCCATGTTGTGTGTTCTGTGGGTGACCATTTATAGTGAATGCAGGGTCCTGGGTTTAGTAACACTTTAACAGGACTGCAATACTGTAGCGGGCAATCTGACACTAACTGATGCTGGGGGTAACCAACTAACTGACACTGACATCACCAGTAACACTAATACATTGATCAGTGATCATACTATATACACTGTTGCTGTACTAATGACACTGGCTGTGGATAGATTAACATCTAGGGCAACTAAGGGGTTAAATATGTGCCTAACTATGTTTAATGTGTGTACAGTGTGCTGCTTTCACTAGCTGATTTGTTTCATATGCTTGCTTTGCAGGCATGAGAAACTGACAGATCGCTTCTTTGGTTCAAAGCTCTGTGTTTACCAACACAAGAGCTCTGGGCTGTGATTGAACACAGCCGATCAGCAGGCCCCAGCCATGAATTATTGGCCGGGACTTGCTGACAGGCTTCCGCTGTGTGCAATCACAGCAGGTGCCAGGTGGGGGGCACACCCTAATTCTGGAAGTAGGCAGCAACGTACCAGTATGTCGGTTTGCCTACAGCCACCGCTCACCCACAGTATAGTGAGGGCAAATGGTTGGCAAGTGGTTAAAAAAAAATATGTAAAGCCAACATTTCATATTCCTGATATGTGCCTGCTGTATCATATACTTGTATGAAAAAGTATCCTGTTCTTTGTATTGCTTTCTCTGTGTGAAATCCCTGGTGTTCTTGCCTATCCCTCTGCTTTCCTCTTAAAAAAACTGACCATACTGAGCAGGCAAACACACCGTGGTCAGTTCTCTAGCTAGCTGTGCAGGGCACTCAGTCTGCGCTCCTCCATTGATCTTTCTTGTCCTGACATTTCCCCCTCTTAGTAATCAGTGTGCTGCTATTTCAGAAGGTATGCAGTCACTTATACAAAAGGGAAAACAAGTATTTTTTCAATCTGTACACTAATGCTTTGCCTTTCTTTTCTATTTTAAACTGAATGGGTTATTTTACAAGGTGAGGGTTTACAATCCACTTAAAAATAAATCAATATAAGCTAAATATAGTTTATAGATAAAATCAACAATTTTTTTTTCTGTGAGTCAAGTATCCAATTAGCAAACTGGATTTAGGATGTCTTTAGAGAATGTTTTTTCTCATAGATTTGTTCCAGGAAACATGTTAGAGATCTGTCTGCAGGGGACCATAAGTACAGCTTTCTGAACTTTCCTGTGAGCATTGATAACACATTCGGGAGATCTAATCCACCCTCATGTACAGCGTTAAAACGTCTGCACTGAAAATAGAGGTAGGAAGGTAAAAGGGAAGAGGTGATAGGTTGCTGTGTGGCAAAACAGAACATTTATATTTTAGACAATAATTTTGGGGCACATTGTACTGCATGAAATCCCTAACATAGCACATTTCCCCACGTCCAGACAGAATCAATGGCAACTGTGTACATTGTTGAAATGGGAAAATATTGGTTGAGGCCTCATTTTGGTTGTTATTGATGGCAGAACAAAAATATGTAAAGTACCACTGATGACAAGAATTAAGTTGTCATCCTTACTTAATTGAATAGTGAGTGCTGGGCTGGATAAGAAATAAATGTACTGGGTGTGGGGGACAATTTACCAGCTGCATGCATGTTCATGAACAGTCCCTTCCCTTTAAAAGGAAAACCAACTACTACAAAGCATGACAAATCTCCACTAATACTGTGGATATAAAAAGTCTACACACCCCTGTTAAAATGTCGGGTTTCTGTGATGTAAAAAAATGAGACAAAGATAAATAATTTCAGAGCTTTTTCCACCTTTAATGTAACCTATAAACTGTACAACTCAGTTGAACAACAAACTGAAATCTTTTAGGTGGAGGGAAGTAAAAATCCAAAACTAAAATAATGTGGTTGCATAAGTGTGCACACCCTTAAACTAATACTTTGCTGAAGCACCCTTTGATTTTATTAGAGCACTCAGTCTTTTTGGGTATGAGTCTATCAGCATGGCACATCTTGACTTGGCAATATTTTCACACTCTTCCTTGCAAAAACACTCCAAATCTGTCAGATTGCGAGGGCATCTCCTGTGCACAGCTCTCTTCAGATCACCCCACAGATTTTCGATCAGATTTAGGTCTGGGCTCTGGCTGGGCTATTCCAAAACTTTAATTTCCTTCTGGTGAAGCCATTCTTTTGTTGATTTGGATGTATGCTTTGGGTCGTTGTCATGCTAAAAGAGGAGGCTCCTCCTCATGTTCAGCTTTCTAGCAGAAGCCTGAAGATTTTGTTGCAATATTTTCTGTTATTTGGAACTGTTCATAATTCCCTCTACCTTGACTAAGACTCCACTTCCACTGAAGAAAATCATCCCCAAAGCATGATGCTGACACCACCATGCTTCACTGTGGGTATGGTATTCTTTTGGTGATATGCAGTGTTGTTTTTACTCCAAACATATCTTTTGGAATTTATGGCCAAAAAGTTCAACCTTGGTTTCATCAGCCCATAACACATTTTCCCACATGCTTTTGGGAGACTTCAGATGTGTTTTTTTCAAAATTTTAGCCAGGCTTGGATTTTTTTCTTCATAAGCAAAGGCTTTTATCTTGCCACTCTACCCCATAGCCCAGATATATGAAGAATACGGGACATTGTTGTCACATGTACCACACAGCCAGTACTTGCTAGATATTCTTGCAGCTCCTTTTAATGTAGGAACATCTTGTAGGCCTCTTGGCAGCCTCCCAGACCAGTTTTCTTCTCGTCTTTTCATCAATTTTGGAAGGTCGTCCAGTTCTTGGTAATGTCACTGTTGTGCCATATTTTCTCCAATTGATGAGGACTGTCTTCACTGTGTTCCATGGTATATCTGATGCCTTGGAAATTCTTTTGTACCCTTCTCCTTACTGATACCTTTGATGCTTTGGAAGCTCTCTGCGGACCATGGCTTTTGCTGTAGGATGCGACTAAGAAAATGTGAGGAAAGACCTACTAGAACAGCTGAACTTTATTTTGGGCTAATCAGAGGCACTTTAAATGATAGCAGGTGTGTACTGACTCCTACTTAACACGATTTTGAATGTGATTGCTTAATTCTGAACACAGCTACATCCCTAGTTATAAAAGGGTGTGCACACTTATGCAATCGCATTATTTAGTTTTTTTATGTTTACCCCCCCCCAAAAAAAAAAAAATTTAGTTTGTTTTTCAATTGAGTTGTACAGTTTATAGGTCACATTAAGGGCTCATGTACACTGCAGCTGCTAGACTGAAGTTTAGGGACAGTTGTGCAGTTTTTTCAGCAGCCCCTGAACTCTCCTTTATGTTTTTCTATGTGTCCATGTACACATTGTCGTTTACAGGCAGTTGAGGTTACAGGTATTTTTTTTGAACGCACAAAAATCGTGTTCAGAACTAGAGTTTACCGGCGTTCTAAACGCATTTAGATGCGTTTTTGGGCTGCTCCATATCCAGACGCTGTCCAGAGCCTTTTTTTCTTCCTCAACAATGCATGCACAGGGTTTTCCATGTATTCAAATGGACCTAGTACACCAGTGTAGTCCGTTCCAGGTTTCTCGTGCAGGGAAAAAAATGGTAGAACATGCTGCATTACTTCTGCACAGAACTGTACTGGAACACATCAAAACACAGCAAAAAAAGCACAAGGAGTGTTGTGTGCACTCCAGAATGCATCCGGAGGCATTACAGGCATTACAGCACTATGTAGCTCCTCCCACAGCGCCAATCATGTTTCATGAGCCATTTTTGCTACAGTTGGAACACCCATCAGAATGTAGTGCTCTCTCTGCTCTCTCTATTTCTCACAAAATGTCTGAAATAGTTAATTATTTACTATTTTTCAGTGCATTCTGGGCATTTGGGAAGGTCTCCTGAGGTTATCTTTTAAAAATGCTTCTAAACGTGGCTAAACTGATGTTTTTAACCTACCTTTTTCTAGCAGTCAGTTTCCAGCGTTCAGAAAAGTTTTTCAAACGCCCCGTGTACATGAGCCCTAAAGATGGAAAAAGTTCTGAAATGATTTATCTTTGTCTCTTTTTTTTACATCACAGAAACCTGACATTTTAGCAGGGGTGTGTAGACTTCTTATATCAAATGTATTAATGGAGATTTGTCATTCTTTGTAGTAGTTGGTTTCCTTTTAAAGGGAAGGGACTGTTCTCTTGGTTTTGTGTTTTTCTTATTTAAGCTGAAACCCAGGTAAACAGCTAAACATACATATGAAATACATCTATGAAAGCTGTTTCAAGAGCTAAATGGCTTATATTCCCGATCGATCATTCCTGAAAATTACACAGCCCTGCCAACCGGGAGACTTGACTTTTCTCTACTGCAGTTAAGTATGACAACAGGGTCTTGTCCCTCCCCCTGCTTATCACTGGACAGTGAAAAGGAAACTGCAGACTAACGAATGCATCTCTGTCACTCTGCTGCCTCCTCCTGTTAGCCTGTTCCATGTTAGTACATAACTACTGCAGAACACCATTATTGGCTCCTTTTGCTGCTTCTCCCTCTCTTCAGAGCACTGCTGTACAGAGGATTGCAAGAGGCTAGTATCGAAATCAGGTACTTGCAGTAGCTGTTTTCAAGAACACATTCAAAGCTT